AATGAGCAGACCCACGGAGAAGAAAATTAACGTCCCTCCCCGTCTCACCAGAACACATCACTGTAGACTCCCTTCCAGTCTTCTGTGCACGAGAAGGTGGACCCATCTGCTGGCAGAGCACGGTCTTAGTGTCACGTCTGTCCTTAGAGCTGGGTGACCGTCTGCAAGGTACTCAGTCTCTCTAAACATGAGTTTTCTCGTCTGTACACTTCCCTGCCCGCAGGGTCATGGACAGGAAGGCTCTGCATAGGGAGATATATGCAGAAGTGACACAGAATGTATACAGAGGCAGATAGAGATGAGATGCAGAGGACTGTATATGCAAATGACATGCAGATGATATGCAGAGCCAGCTGCCAATGAGATGCGTAGGTCTCTTTGCACAGTGCTGTACACCCAGAGCGTTCTCAGTAAATACTAGGTTTTGTTAGATAAATTCGTGTTAGATAAACGTCAGTTTTGTGGTTCATATACAATTTTTCTCGTCTGCTTCTTTTAAAAATTGATAATATCAGGATATTCCCCCCCCCCCCACAAACCTTCAGTATTTCTCAGAAGCGTGATTATTTCGTTTTTCTTGCATTCTGTCATATGCATCGATCATAATTTAGCTTTGAAACCCCGAAAGGTGGGTCTTTAGGTTTCTTATGAAGCTTCCCATACTCTTCTCTGACAAGGGTGCGATGGACACGGGTGTTCATGCAGCCGAGTCTCTCTCGGTAGCGCCTGTGGGGGGTGCTCTTGGAAGTAGACTGTCGGGGCTGTGCAGCATTTTCAGGCTTTTGAGAAGGCCTGGGGCCCGTGTGCCCGCCACGCCCGTTGTGCCACTTTCCACCCACCACATCCTGCCCCCACTGGGTTTTCAGAAAAGACGAGACAAAAGTGAGAACCCAGAAAACCATATGCATGTCAGCTTTTTAAACCCTAAAAGCGGTGCACGCGCTTTATGAACAACATTTTAAAGAATAGAAGTGTATGAAGTAAAAGAACAGAAGGCGCCTCGGTGCACTGCCCCCATGCAGGCTCTGCTCCCAGGGAGGTGGTCACTGTTCAGCTTGCTGTGCAACCCCCACACCCATGTCCGTGTGTGGGTGGGGGTGCGTGTGCACACACAGCAGCCCGTGTCGTTCTTCTAAGGTGCTGTGGACGTCATGCTGCATGTTTTAGGACGCGCATTGGTCAGTCGCAGCTTGTTGGGGACGCCATGTTACGAACAAAGTCCCACGTTGGTGCATAGATCCTGGAACTTGTTCTTTTTCAGGGCTGCCTAATATTTCACGAGCTGGGTGAGCCAGCGTGTATCTTCCTATTCCAGTCCAGGGGCCAGGAGCTGCTTAGTTCACTTTCAGGGTTTCACTCTCCTGAATAATGCTTTCATAAGCTTCCATACATACTATAAATCTGGTCTGGGGGATCTGTTTCTAAAGAGAATTGCTGTCAAACGTGTTTCTTTACACCCAGCGTCATCCTTTTCCCCGAAGACACAGCAGTAAAGGCGTTCTCGCAGGGTCTGTCTGCTCGCTTGTTCATTTGAGGAGACCCCACTGAGTGTGTCAGGTGCCGGGTATGGTGGGCAAGGCAGAAATGGTCTCTTCCTTACAGAAATGACAGTTGGTGGAGAGAGCCCCTCCTTCCCTCCCTGCCCACTGGTGCCCCGTCTCTGCGGCTTGTTTGCAAATGGGAGGAGGAGACTTTACATCCCAAGAGGCGGCCTGGAGAAAACCCGCCTTGAACTGACAGAGGGCAGCCAGCCTACTGGCGGAGAGTAACCCCCGAGCCGGCCGCCCCCGCCTTCCTGGCCAGGCCCCATCTTGTGGGGCAGAAAGGGAAGTAGCAGCTACCCAGAAAGCCAGCAGCGCTTGCCTCAGGGGGGCCCTGGGGACGTGGAGACCAACCGGGTGTCATTGTGAAAGTGAGCGGTTTTGGCTTTTCCTGTCTCTTCTTTGGAAGGGACCGGCAGGGCGTGGTGGGGCGTGGCCGCCCCCTGCCAGAGCCCCACTCTGGGTCTGAGAGGCCAACATGGTTCCCAAAGGCTTTCTTGAAAGATTTCCTGGGTGACAGGCCATCCAGTGTCGGTGTTGGCAGGGCAGTGGGGGCCCAGACGGACCCCGCAGGGAGGCCTCGAGCTCAGCCGCCCGTTACCTGGAAGCTCGGCAGGGGTGGGGAGGGTGACTCGCTCAGGGCATCGGGCAGGGAGCAGCAGGGCTGCGTCCTCCTCACCTGGACTCGCCCTGCGGGAGCTGGGTGGGGGCGGGGCTCTGCCCTGTTCCCTGGCACAGCCCTGTGGGACCTCATCAGCTGACAGAGCAACTGTGTAGTTAGCCGCTGGGGCCTTCTGACCTCAGCCTTGACCCAGCCTAGAAATCTCAGGCGACTGGCTCAGGTGCCCAGAGTGTTTATTGAGGGCCTGGCTTGGAGCCGAGTGCTCTCCGTGTGTCATGCAGTCTTCATGACAACCCTACGAACTAGTTCTCCAGTGTCATCACCCCTGTGTTAACAGGCAGGGAACTCGAGGGTCAAGGGTTTGGTAGCTGTCTCCCGGACCTTGACCTCCTGGCTGCAGCAGCTGCCACGCCGCCCCAGCACGCTCTGTGGCTTTGCCCCCCTTCTCCCTGCCTGGTCCTTCTCACAGCCCTGAATCACGGGCCGCTTGTCTCTATCCCAGGAAGAACAAGCCACACGAGGGTGAGGAGTGCGGTTCATCTCTGCGCCTAGGACAGTGTTTGGCACGTCACAGATGCTCAGTTCGTGTTTGCAGAATGAATGAATAGTCTGGAGGCACTCCGCTGTCCTTCCTCCATTCCCTCCTTTTCTCCCCACCTGCACTCAGGAGGTCGCACCCCCTTCCCCAGCCACCCCCAGCCCTGCACTCCTGTCTTCCCGTTGCTTCCACAGTTATGAATATCAGATGCCTGTTGGTGTTCACCTGAGTGCATCTGCTTCCACTAGTAGCCTGTGGGCTGCCCGAGGTCAAGGACTTGGTTTGCTGTGGCCCCCGCTGTAGTCCCCGCCCCAGGCTCCCAGTGGCCCCCGCATGGGCAGAGGGGGGAATGAGCTGTGAGGTAAACACAAGAGCCGAGTCGGGACCCTGTTTCCCTGCATCTGGGGCCCACTCCCGGCACTGTCCTCCCTCCTGGTTTGAGACCCTGAGTGATGGAGCACAGCCACTGTCACCTGCTCCAACCAGCTCGTCTGGGGACTCAGGCAGTGGAAACGACTTTGCAGTTTCTAGCGGCAGAGCTCTAAGCAGGCCATCACCTGTTCTCTCGGGGTATCGCTTCCTCCTGAGTTTATTTTTTAATCAGGATGAAACTTTGGCCCAGGGCCCAGAGCACAGGAGAGACAGAATTCCCTGGTGGCCCCGGATCCTTCCCCGCACACTCAGTGGTGGCGGGCGTGGCTCTAAAGAGAAATGTATTTACTTTTTAAAAAATATTTCATTTATTTTTAGAGAGAGGGGAAGGGAAGGAGAAAGTGGGAGAGAAACATCAATGTGTGGTTGCCTCTCATGTGGCCCCTACTGGGGGGACTCGGCCTGCAACCCAGGCATGTGCCCTGACTGGGAGTCGAACTGGCGACCTTTTGCTTCGCAGGCCCGTGCTCAACCCACTGAGCTACGCCAGCCAGGGCTGTATTTACTTTTTGTTGGTCCTGAAATCATGCAGGCTCAGCACAGCCAGTTGAAGGGACTCAGAAAAGTAGAAGGAACCACGTCTAGTCTCATGCACCACCCACAGGCAACTGTTTCAGCAGTTTGCTTATTTCTTCCCACTCAGTTCAGGATGTATTTTTGCCCTTATTTTGGGGGAGGAAGGAAATGCGACGTAATTTTGACCATACAATATAGTCACGTATGTATCTCCCCTGTCCTGCTTAACCTCATAAGTATGTAAGTAAACTGTTAGTATTGTTAAGTATTAAAGTATTTAGCTAGGCGTAATACTAATACTAAAATATTCATATTAATTAATATTAATGTTAAATGCATAGTAAATATTTAATGGTGATATATATATAGTTTAACATTTAAATATGGAATAAAATACTTCAAAACTAATTTTAATGACTATGAAATACTCCATCATAGGATGGAGTATTCTCAACCTGGACTGTTCTCAACCTGTCCAGTGGTTTACTGTTCACCTTTTCTTACCTCTCCTAATTTCTTAGTGTGTGTGTGTGTGTGTGTGTGTGTGTGTGTGTGTGTGAGAGAGAGAGAGAGAGATGTCTTAAATCCTTTCAGAAAAGACAGGATATGTTATATAATGTGTATCAGGCATTTAAAACCACTCCCTAAGCTTTGTTCAGTGAGGGTATTGTAGCCAGTGAGGTGTACCGGAGGTGGGATTATTGCTTAATCAGAACTGCTGTCTCAGCCATGGCTGTTGTAGCTCAGTGGATTGAGCACAGGTCTGTGAGGCAAAGGGTCACTGGTTTGATTCCCAGTCAGGGCACATGCCTGGGTTGCAGGCCAGGTTCCCAGTAGGGGGCGCATGAGAGGCAACCACACATTGATGTTGCTCTCCCTCTCTTTCTCCTTCCCTTCCCCTCTCTCTAAAAAGAAGTAAATAAAATATTTTTAAAAAAGAACTGTCTCAAAGTGAAGCAGTTGTGGGGTTTTAAAATTGTCACTCTTACAGTGGCACTTTGATGAACATCCTTAGATGTAATTCTTGCTTGTACTTAAGATTATTTTATTAGGGGAGATTCCTAGATTTGGAGTTAGAAGACTCTGGATCACTTGACGTTTCTTGCAGTTTATTGTCAAACTCCTTTGCTGAAAGACTCTTTGGTGTATCCTCTCATTAGCAAGTGGGAAAGTGCATGTCCCCAGGCGCCCTGACAGCAGCAGGTGCACTTTTAGTGACCACTGCTCTGTGATGTAGAAGAAGGCATTTGGTCGTTGACGGGGAACGGCGGGATGTCTCCGAGTCCACACCCGAGGGCTGTGGGTGGAGGAATGTCCGTGGAAGCCTTTATCGGAGAATTTCGTCTTGCAGCTGACTTTGGTGTGTCTGCCAAGAATCTGAAAACCCTGCAGAAACGAGATTCCTTCATCGGGACGCCTTACTGGTGAGTTGGGTAGCTCCTAGAAACCGGATGGTAGAGGGGACGTCAGACCTCAGAGTCCCCAGGGTGACCTCTGTCTGACCCGTACAGCGCAGAGAGGACAGGAGGCAGGGGCTCCTGAGTCAGCCTGCAGGGCCAAGCCCAGCCTCCGACACTGCCTGGCTCCGTGACCTGGGCCCAGTTGCTTTGCATCCGCTGCCTCAGTCTCCTGACCTGAAAAATCAGGGACAGCTTAGCTCCCACTGAATGAGAGGATTAAATAGGGTGATGCACATAGGAAATGCTCCGTTAGTCGCTCTTTGACTGGAACTCCTAAAAAAATGTTGCTATTCTTGGTCAGTTCAACAGGTACAGAGTACGGGGCTGGGGCTGTGAAGACGAATGGTCAAGTTCAGTTCCTACCTTCCCTGCAGTTTCACCGGACTTCTGGAGTCCTGGGTGTTTCCTTTTCCAAACTGTTACTTAAAAAAACAAAACAAAACAAAAAACCCCCGTAAAACTCTTTCGTTCTGTTTCGCACCTAACTGCTTTCTGGATTTCCTGTGCATTAATTCCCATTGTGGAGGTGGGCTCCTTGCTTGCTTGCTTTTTACTCACTCTTTCTCTTTCTCTCTCTCTCTCTGCCCTCTTATATCTCTCCCTCCTTTTCTCTCCTATCCCTTCTCTCCGTGCTGTTGTATCCTCTCCACCGCCCTTCCTGCCCCCAGTTTTTTCTGGGCCCCTTCCCTTCTGCCCCCACCCACTTTCCCAGGACTCTGAGTTCTGGATTGTGGCTGCCACCTGGTGGTAGGCATCAGGAACTGCAGCAGGCCGTGGTGGTGGAGCCGCGTGGAGGGCATCTTTCTGTGTGAAGATCACCAGCAGGAAGACAGTGGGATGGACAGGAAGGCAAATCGTGATTTGGGCGTGGTGCTGGCAGCCCCTGACATTGGCCTGTGCTGGTCCTTGACCCTGAGTCTCCGAGAAGCGCCCGGGAGGCCAGGTCCTCAGCCCTCTGTTGTCCCTTGGTTGGTTCAGGATGGCCCCCGAGGTGGTGATGTGTGAGACCATGAAGGACACTCCGTACGACTACAAGGCCGACATCTGGTCCCTGGGCATCACGCTGATCGAGATGGCGCAGATCGAGCCGCCGCACCACGAGCTCAACCCCATGCGGGTCCTGCTCAAGATCGCCAAGTCGGAGCCCCCCACGCTGCTCACACCCTCTAGGTGGTAAGGAGAAGGGCGGTGCTGGAGGGCCGGGGCCCCAGATGCACTGGCCTGCGGGGCTGGACGAGCTGGAGGGCCCTTCTGAGCTCCCCAGGCCCTCCTTGCCCCATCCTCCCTCCCTGGCGTCCACATGGGCAGCCTGGTGACTCGGAGAAACTGGGTCCTACCGTGGGAATAAACACCCAAGCAAGCCCTTCCGCCGCCTGGCACAACCTTGGGCTGGGACTCGGGGCTCTGGCTAGAGTCCCAGCACTGCGGTGTTTTGCTCCGTGGCCTGAGCAAGCTTCTGCTCCTCCAGTTTCCACGTCCCCTCTTGTGCAGTGATGTCCTTGATGAGAAGTTCACCTTGAGGGCCCTGCTGCCTCCGCCTTTTAGCCCATGAAGGTGTCCTTTGTCCTGTGATGGGCTTGTCTGGGAGGCACAGGACTCCCGGGAGAGTGGGGTCTGTGACACGCGGCGTCCTCTTGGCCCTCACCCCGCTCTGAGGTCACTGCGGCCCCCTCCTCCCAGGTCTGCGGAGTTCCGAGACTTCCTGAAGACCGCCCTGGATAAGAACCCAGAGACCCGGCCCAGTGCTGCGCAGCTCCTGGAGGTGAGTGGGCCCCCCTTCCCGGGGCTGCCTGCCCCCTGTCCTGTCCCTCCGCTGGATGAGACCAGCTGTGACCTCAAAGCTGATGCGTTCCTCGCCCAGCCTGGGTGACGGATAGTGTGTATAACCATCCATTCATCCACCGATGTTCCCTGGTGGGGGGTGGGGGGCTGTCGGGCAGGAAGTCCCCAGAGCCCCGTCCTCACGGAGCTGATGATCCAGTTGGGGTGACGAGGCAGATGAGCAGAGACACGCGTGTGACAGGGGAGACGAGGGCTTCACGGCAAACAGCGTGGGCGGGTGGCAGGCCTGCGAGGGGTTGCTCTGCCTGGAAGGGCTCCACAGGTGAGTAGGGAGCCAGTCCGGGGTGGAGGCCAAGGTCTGGGACGTCGGCGTGAGCGGCACGAGCCCGGAAGAGCCAGGAGGCCCAGGCGTGGGAGCTGGGGTGAGGGCAGGGCTGTTGGGGGTGACATCAGGGTGGTATGGGGTGCCCACCCCCGACTCGATGGTTCATGAAAGGGACATGCAGGGCTTGGCAGGTCGTACTTACCACTGTGACCTATTAGAGGAGAAGGGCGCAGGGAAAGGGTGCATGGGAGGGGACCAGGCTGCAGCTTTCAGAGTCGCACGGGGGACACACGGGCTTCCCCCAGCACCAGGGTGTGCCGTGTGTGAACTGCCTGCCCTCGGGGGTGTGCGGCACAGCGGTGAGGTGTGTGGACTGGGTCGGAAAGTCCTGCGTTCAAGCCCCAGCCTGTGCCTCACTGGCCGCGAGACCCTGGGCAAGTGGCTTAACCTCTGGGCTCGGCTCTCGCTCTGAAACAGGGTCATGTTTGTGTCCCCCGGGCAAGGCGACTGTGAGGATTAGAGCGAGAAGATGCTCTGAAGAGCGTAGCCTCACTGGTAAGCCGGTGTTCGAGGAATGCTGGGTGTGTTGAGTTATAAAAAGTAGAAGGAAACCAGGTTGCCCAGGCGGGTCTGTCTGCTGGGGGGTCACGAGTGTATTTGAAGCAAATGCCTGGAGGGCCCAAGGCCTCGTTTTCTGGGTATTGTGTTTGGTGGGGCAGCGTCTCGGGGGCTGGACTGGACCGGCCAGAGCTGCGGGCGGGCGGGCCTTTGGTCCCTGTGAGACCAGAGGCTCCAACTTGTGTGGGGCCAGTTGTTTCCTGCAAGCAGGCCCCCACTCCCCACCCCCCACCCCCCCGCCCGACACATCCGGGACCTTCCAGGGGGAAGAGACAGCTGGTACTCCACCCCCACGTGGCTGCCCCGCAGCCCTGACCTGCGCCAGGAATTTCCGCTGTGTGGTTGGAAAAACGTCCTGGCGGAGCCTTCTCGGTGTGAGGTGCAAAGGGTCTCAGAAGAGGGGAGAGACCCTTCGAGATACAAGAAGCACCTTTCAGAGCGCAGGCCGAGGTCGGCTTTCCCCCGGCCCGCCCCTCCCTGCGAGAGAGGGAGGGCACAGCCCATGACCTGTGCCTTCTGCGGAGGACCCGGGGTTACAGCAGGGCTTGCTGAGGTCACCTGGCCTGGGGAGACCCAGGGAGCTCCGGGTCCCTGCAGCCCCTCCAGAGCTGCTCGTGGCCCTACCTGGGCCCTTGAGTCTGCCTGCTTCCGGAAGCTTCCTCCCGGTCCCTCGTCTTTCCTGCTGTCTGCCTCGAGGTGACTGGCTTATGGCCTCTTTGGTTTATGGGTTGTTCGTTGACTTGCGCAGATGCTCCTTGGCATCTTGTTGCGTAGTGGTGGCCCAGGCCCCGACACCAGGCTCGCCGCCCGGAATCTCACTCTGTGCCCCAGTTTCCTTGGGATGTAGATGGTGCTCCCGTCGCAGAACATGGAGCGAACAAGATCCTCTAAGGCACTGTTTTTAGTGTAATGGCCGTCAGGGGCGCAGTCCAAACTTGCTGAATTTGTTTTTAAACCCACTCATTGTGTCCCACTGTCCTTGTCAAGGTCACCAGCGACTTCTGTGTTGCTGGGCAGCACAGTCAGCTCAGGCAGCGGCAGCAGCAGCCACCACGGCCAGCCCCGGTCGTCCTCGCTGTCGGCCTTGAGTTCTGATTCCCACGTCTTCTTGGTTTCCTTCCTTCTCCCTGGTCACTCCCCAGCCTCCTTCACCTGCCCTCCTGGTCCCCGCCGTCTGCACTCACCTGGCTGACCGCACCCCGTTTGCCGTGACTCCCCCGTTTCCGCCCTGCCGCCCAGCCCGTGCCCAGCCTCCCTTAGACGTCCACTTGGCGCCTCAAACTGAACATGTGCACCACGGACCGTCCTTCCCTGGAGGTGCCCCACCGACGGCTCTCCTGTCTGCCAGCGGCGACCCCACCCTGCCGGTGGTCAGGCCCCAGGGCTTGCAAGCATCCTGAGATACATAAAGCACCCCCACGCTTTCTCCAACACTCCCTGCCCGTCCTACAGAGAAACCTTGCCGTCCCTGGCTTCGGAACATGCTGGAATCTGACCGAGTCTCACCGTCCCTCTGAGCTGCCGCCATCTCTCACTTGGAGCATTGCCCCGTCCCCGGGCTCCCTGCCCCGCTTCAGTCTGTTCTCAGCGCAGCAGCCAGAGCGAACCTGGCAAACCGGTCGGCTCCTGTCCCTCCCTGGTCTGAAGCCCCTAACGGCTCCCACCCCACTCGGTAAAATCCATAATCACAGCGACCTGCAAGGTCTTCCTGTGTAGTCTGCCCACCGCACTGTGACCCCGCAGACCTCTGCTCTCCCTCTGGCTCCTTGCTCTGCGCCAGCCACACTGGCCTGCTTGCTGTTCTTAGGACTCCCCAGCACACCCTGCCTCAGGACCTTTGCACTGGCTCTCCAGGTGGCCTGCACTAGTCTTCCCCCAGACACCTCTGTGGCTGTCGCTCTGTCTCTGTCCTCTCTCCCCCTCCCACCCTGCCTGCCCCCTTTTGTCATTGTGCAAATGTCAGCTTGCCAGTGAGGCCTCCCCCAGCCACCCTATTTAAAACTGCAGGCGTGTGCTGGTGGGTGTAGCTCAGTGGTTGAGCACCAGACTGCCAACCAAAAGGTCACCGGTTTGATTCCCAGGCAGGATACGTGCTTGAACTGTGGCCCAGGCCGCCACCTGGGGGCGTGTGACCGATTCATGCATCTCTCACACATCCGTGTTTCTCCCTTTCTCCCTCCCTTCCCGTCTCTGTACACATAAATAAACTCTTCAAAAAGTAAATAAATAAATTTCCTTCAAAAAAAAAAAGAAAGAAAAAACCCTGCAAACCTGCTCCTCCTACTTCCCACGTCGCTTTTCCCCGCCCTGCTTTAAATTTTCCCCTGGCACATAGCACGGTGGTATATCATTTACTAGTTTCTTAAGTTTACTCTTTTCTTTTTAATCTTCTCTTGAGGACATTTTTTCATTACTTTAGAGAGAGGAAGGGGGAGAGAGAAACATCGATACGAGAAAGAAGCATTGATTGGTTGCTTCCCACACACGCCCCATCTGGGGATCAGACCCACGACCTGGTACGCGCCCTGACTGGGGATTGAACCTGCGACCTCTCAGTTTACAGGATGATGCTCCAACCTACTGAGCCACTCCACCAGGGCGACGATAGTGTTTGTTTAGTTCACTGATGTGTCCTAAGCATCCCAACAGTGCCTGGATGCCGAGGACCCTTAAAAGAATTCGTTAAATGCATTTACTCATTTTTACTTAACCCACTGCTAGGAAACGCTTTCTCCGTGCCGGGTGCTGTTCTAAGGGTTTCATCATGTTGACTGATTTAATCATCATAACCGCCCTGGGAAGGAGGTCCTGTTCGGATCTCTCCACCAGACGTGAGACTGAGCACAGAGAGGTTAGGTAGCCTGCACAAGGTCACACAGCTGGTAAGCGACAGAGCTGGGATTCTGATCTTGGTCGTCTGCTTCCAAAGCCTGTTCTCTTGACTGCTCTGGGAAGCTGCCTCCGAGTGAATGGAGGACAGAAGGAAGAACTGAAAGAGGAGGGGAGAGAGGCAAGGGGTCGGAAGGGCGGGAGGGAGCCCTGAGGGGGAGACGCTGACACATTTCTAGGCTTTTTCTAAAGCCAGTGTTGGTGCGGGGGACTCCGGTCTGGTGGCTTCCAAGCACAGAGGAGAAAATAGGCTCAGGTTCTTGGAAGGGAAGTCTGTGTGGATGGCCACAGGGGCCCTGGCCAGAGGGCGGGAGCCAGCTGGCGTGCTGTGTGACGTCTTGGGGTTCCCCACAGAGATGGCGCGGAGCAGCTGGTCTTCTTCCTGAAGGAGCAGACGCTTGGGGACCCGTGTGTGCAGCCTGGTCTGTCCCCGTGCCGGCCCCACTGGGGCAGTCAGTGCCCGCTGCAGAGTGTTGTCTCTCTAATGGGCCTTCGTGGTTTGGGGGCTGAGGAAATGCCTCCCCTGAACCCCTGCAGGCGGTACAGCTACAGGAAGGGCTGGTGTCCTGGAGCAGTTGACAAAACAGTGTTCTGGGCCTTGTCAGCCAAGGAGGGCCTGCCCCACCTGCCTGCAGCTCTGCTCACCTGCCCCTCCATCAGAGGCTCTCCTCCCCATAGCTTCCCCTCCCCCTTGCTTCCTAAGGACCCCGGGGGCTCTGGGGAGGCAGCAGAGCAGGTGGGTCGGGTGCAGGAAGGCGAGGCTCCTGGCCGTGCTGGAGAGCCACCGATTCGGCCAGCGCGTAGTGTGCCCTGATGCAAACCCGGTACTCCCCGGAACCCGTGCTGCCTCATTTATTCCTGCCACATCCGCTTCAGCCACTGAGGGACATGCCCTGTGGCTGCTTTTTCAAGTTCCCACGTGTGAGGTTGTGCAGTGTGAGGCTTGGGAACCTCTGGGAGCTGTTTCCAGCCCTCTGTTCTAAAAATGTGTGTCCTGTGGGGATGCAGGAGGGGGCGGGAATGGTGGGGAGTTTAGAGCTGGTACCTCAGAGGGTTCTGTGACTGTGATACTGCTGCTGCTGCTGTTGCTGCTGGAGGTAGTGATGGAGGTGATGGTGGTGATGGAGGTGATGGTGGTGATGGAGGTGATGGTGGTGATGGTGATGGTGGTGGTGATGGAGGTGATGGTGGTGATGGTGGTGGTGGAGGTGATGGAGGTGATGGTGGTGGTATGATGTGGAGGTAGTGGTGATGATGGAGGTGATGGAGCTGATGGCGATGGTGGTGATGGAGGTGGTGGTGGTGATGATGTGGTAGAGGTGGTGATGGTGATGGAGCTGATGGTGATGGTGGTGATCGAGGTGATGGAGGTGATGGTGGTGATAATGATGTGGTGATGAAGGTGATGGTGGTGATGGAGGTGATGGTGGTGATGAGAAGGTATTGATGGTGGTGATGGTGGTATAGACAGTAGCTCTCACAGTCTGAGCTGAAACGCCTAAAACAACCGCACTCTCATTCCCAGTGTACCAGTGAGCAAGCTGAGGCTTGGAGGGGTCAGTGACTTGCCCAGGTTGGTGGTGGAAGCAGGATTTTACCCCAGGCGGTCCGGCTCTTCGCTGCTGTTCTCCCCTGCCTCCGGTGTCAGCAAACCCTTACTAATGGTTCCGCTCAGCCACCAGACTGACACCTTCAAATGACACTTTCAGTGTCACTTTAACTGACACCTTTATTGTCACTGCTCTGCCACAGCCCTCCAGTGGCTTCTGAGAACAAAGGCTCAGCGACTCACCCCTGCCAGGGTTCCCTGTGCGCACCACCCGCCCTCCCTTCTGCGGCTCCGCCCCTCCCCTCCCACAGTTCCTGAAGCCCATGCCTCCCGCACGCCAAGCTCAGTCCCGGCTCAGGGCCTTTTCACCTGCTGTTCCCTCTGCCTGGAATTCTCTCTGCCCAGATCTTTCTCCCTGGCAGGCCCCTTCCCATCCCTCAAGGTCTCAGCTCCAAGGTCATCTCCACAGGGAGGCCCCTGTGACCACGGACCTAAGCAGCCTCCACTGCCCAGACCGGGCTGTTGCAGCCTCCTGGTCTTTTGTCACCAGATCTTCAATGACCTTGCTTGTCACTCAGTGATGTACCTGCTGTCCCCACCCTCTGCTGCGAGCCCCCGAGGGCCGAGGCCTTGCCCGTCTCCTTGCTTACCTTATGTCAGCAGCTGGCACATCAGGTGTCACCATGTGGTTGTGCCGTGAGTCAGTGAATGAGTGGGGACATGGGAAAGGGAAGAAAGATGCAGTTCTTCACCCCTTCACTAGTTCGGACTAATTAGAGTCGTCTGAAGGCCAGGGCTCCTGAAGGGGAGTGTGGCCTGTTGCGGTCAGATGTACAAAGTGAGGTGACGGAGTTGGACGGGGTGCTGCCTTGGGGCCCCCCACGAGCGAGTTGATGTAGGTGAACAAGCACATGAAAATGCCTTTCATGGACCTGTCGGTGGGGAATGCGTTTCCAGGCTGCGGGGAAACTTATTTTCCATAGTTGTTCGCACACTTCCCTGCCATCCCGACGCCGCTCCTCTGCACACACGTTTTCTGACAGTAAGGACGGTGAGGTTCCGTCAGAGCCGTCCTGTGAATTTCAGAGGACCCCCTTCCCACGTGAGGACTGCCCCCACTCCCAGCATTCCCTCCGAGCCGCCCCGGGGGAGTGAGGCCAATTGGGGAGCCCCCATCCCTGTCCACACCCAGGGACAGACTTCCTTCCATCTGGGGGGTGCTCGTGTGATGGAACATCTGCCGAGGCCGTCAACGCTCTGGTGTTCTGCAAGGTCTGTGCAAGGTGTGACATTTCTGGAAGCGCCTTGGGACAGAACACACACCACTGTCTTTCAAGCTTTTGCAAGCACACGTGTGTTCTCAGCAGACTTGGTCACAGTCAGCACAGACAGGAAACAGCACGGATGCCCGGCGTGGCAGGGTGAGTGAGCAAGCTGACGTGGGTGTGCAAGAACGTTCTGCTTGCAAGCACAGCAGGAGCAGTGCACCAGTGCACGCGCTATGTGGGTGAATCTGAGTTTCACCTCCTGGTGTGAAGAGAGCCAATCACAGAAGACGATGTGTTGTAGGATTCTGTCCGGAGGAAGCTGAAGGGGGGGCAGGATGAGCCTCTGAGCCAGGCAGCAGGGGCGGGGCGTTGGCCACAGCAGGGGGTGCAGGGGCCTTTCCAAGGTGATGGACCAGCTGATGGGCGTGCTCTCTCTCGGGTGGAGGTTCCTCCAGGTCGGTGTATATGAGAAATATGGAATAAGTCGCCGAGCTTAATGATTCGTGAACTCGGTACTGCCTTTGAAAAGAAAATGATGCACAAAGAAACCGCCCCACCCTCGCGTCAGCTCCTGCGTTGGGCTCAGCAGCACTTCTGTGGGCAGTAGCTTCCTAACCGTCATGGTCTCCCCGTGGGTGTGCCATCGCTGTCTCTCTTCCACAGGCGAGGGGCCTGCAGCTCGGACAGGGACAGTCACACGCTTGGTGTCACAGAGTCGGGATTTGCCCCCTTTCTGTCACACACAGGACTTTCCGAGCCGCCTCTGGGTCTCTCGTACCAAGTCCGTGTTAGCCCAGCCAAGTTGCTTGCCCTCCTCACCTGTTCCCTCCCTCCCTCCGCTCCCGCCCCTGGTCCAGAGTGGCTCTAACCTGGGTATCTTGTCCCCCTCAGCACCCCTTCGTCAGCAGCGTCACCAGTAACAAGGCTCTGCGGGAGCTGGTGGCGGAGGCCAAGGCCGAGGTGATGGAGGAGATTGAAGACGGCCGGGATGAGGGGGAAGAGGAGGACTCTGGGGACACCACGTCTGTAAGGACCCGGGGAATGGCTGCTGGGGAAGGCCGGAGCCCCTTGGACCTCGGCTCCTGTGAGCGGGGCAGAAAGGTCTCCTTCCCGCATCTCCCCAGCTTACAGATCAAGGGCTCCCGGGAGTGTAGAATTTCATGTGAGACCCAACAATTTTTAAAAGTTGGTAGTTGGCTCTTTGCGTCCCAGCCTTTTCCCCACGTGGCTCACATACCAAACGTGTGTACCAAACGTGTGTGTTTGAGTGTGCATGGGGCTGTATGTGATGAGAGGCCACAGGCTGAGGGGCTCTGGCCACCCCAGACCCCGCCCGGCTGCCCTGAGGGCGCAGGGGACCGCGTCTAGGCCCATTTGTAACTCATTTGCAGCTTCAGCACTTGGCCGAATTTAAATGTAAACAAAAGCTAATTTTTTTTAAGTGTAAAGCCATCTGGGCCCAGGGAATCATGTCTGTGGCCGGATCCCGGCCTGAGCGGCTGCGTCTGGGCCTCTCTGGTCCAGTGGTTTGTGGGGCAGGCGGGGTGGGGGCGGGTGCCTCTGCCAGAAGAGCCATTTGTTGTCCAGATGGTGCCACGGGCCCGGTGGGGCAGGGGCTGGGCGTTGCTGTGTGGGGACAGGATCAGACCTGAGTTTTTGAGAGGGTGGATTAAAGTTGCTTCTGGAAGCTTCCATATCCAAGGTCAAAAACCATCAGACTTCAGGACCCCAGGGAATGCTTCCAGTGGGAGTCCGTTGATGCCGAGTTTGAGACTAGGCAGAGCAGCCTACGGGACTTAGATATCGAAGTCAGCACAGCAGTTATGTCAGCAGGAAGGATGGACTCGGCCGGGCAGGGCTTGGGCTCTGGGGCCAGGCCCCCATCCCACCCCGACCCAGAAGGGGGCGGCGTGGGTGCTCACATCATTCAATAGGCTGGACACTTAACGTGTTAGCCAGATACATGGGTGTTCTCTTTCGTAATAGCAACATTTCCAATCCTTTCCTTTCCCTCAAAGCTCTGAAGACAAAACATTAAAAAGTTCGTGGCTGGTAGGCAAAATCTTGCCCCTGGATAAATGTATTTTGGGTTTTATGCAATTTTGTAAAAAAAAAAAACCAAAACTTTAAGTAGTTGCCGTCTAAAAATCAGATGTATAAAAATCCAGATTCTTGCTTGTCTTGGAAAATGTGGGAAGTCTGGCCGTAGGGGACCCACTTCTCCACGTTGTCACTATTGGCTGGAGCAGGGAAGCCAGTGCCCCTTTCAGACGGGGGGTGTCGGCCAGCAGGTCACAGCTGCCTGCGTTCTTAGGAGGAACGACAGGTATTGAACTGAGCTACAATCAGAGAGAATCAGCAGGTTCCCATTCCTCCAGACAAGTAGTGATTCGATTGTTGGTTAGGCAGCAGTGAGTGCTGGGGCCTGCGGCTTGCTGGGGTGACACCGACTCCGCCTCCCTGGCCAGGGCACACGTCACCCTGTTGGGGTTTGACCTGCAGCCGCACGTTATCTCTGACTGTTGCCTTGCACACACAGCAGCCTGACCTTGACTGCCTTTTCTTTTCCCCTAGTCTATGGGGAACCACACGCCCAACTCTTCCGAGGTGACTCAGGTGAACCTCAGTGCCGACAAGGAGCCACTTATCACCACAGTGCCACCCAGCCAGCCTCAGGACAGCGTGAATGGGCCCATCCAGCCCTCCGGGGATAGATCCCTGCAAACCACCAGCCCCCAAGATGTGGCCCCTAAAAATGAGAACGGCCTAGCAGTGCCCGTGCCCCTCCGCAAGTCCCGGCCAGTGTCCATGGGCGCCAGGATTCAGGTGCCTGAGGAGAAGAAAGTCGCTGACCAGGGTGGGGACCTTGGTCCAGCAGCCAGCCGGTCTCCAAAGACAAGCCAGAGCCGTCCCAACAGCTGCGCCCTGGAGGCCTTGGTCAGCGAGAAGCTGGCCAACGGCAGCCTGGAGCTGCCCGCCCAGGCCTCTCCTTGCCCAGCCAAGAGGGACTCGGACTGTGGCAGCCTCTCCACCTCCGACAGCGTGGACTACGGTGCCTCCCTGTCCGCCGACCTGTCCCTGAACAGGGAGACAGGCTCTCTGTCCATCAAGGTAATGCCGCCTCTTGTGCACAGGGTGGGAGCGAGATTGTTCCACTGCTGGGCTGGGGTTTTGGGGATGGTGGATGGCTGCCTTCCATTTCCATGGCTCACAAGGATTGCTCTTTTTTCTTTTTTAATGTAATTAATTTCTCTAATTTATTTTTTGTTTTTTAAAAGATTTTTTTTTTTACTTTTTAAAGAGAGGGGAAGGGAAGGAGAAAGAGAGGGAGAGAAACATCAATGTGTGGTTGCCTCTTGAGTGCCCCCTACTGGGGACCCGGCCTGCAACCGAGGCATGTGCCCTGACTGGGAATCAAACCTGAGACCCTTTGGTTCTCAGGCCTGCACTCAGTGCACTGAGCCACACCAGCCAGGGTAGAATGCTCTTTCTTTAAAGGGCTTTCAGTTCGACTTGCAGGTTAATCTCCAAAATGTCCGAGCTCAGTCTGGGGTTTAGTCATGTCAGACAGTTGGTTTGGGGTTAAATGTCAGTCTGGGTTTCCATTTCAATTGGGTTTGGTTAAAGGTCCTGGTGAAATCGGGGAGAGAGTCTTGCAAAGTGCTTTAAAGAAAATGAAGGTGACCCCTTCGCCAGTGCACAGATGAGCAAGCAGGGACCCAGGCGGGAACTGGGGAGCTGCGGACCCCACACTTGGGGCTCAGGACCCCGAAGGCCATTCTGCCTTCCTGCTGGGACTCTGGCCTCCACTTCCTTCACCTCTGGTGGCCGGGGGGGCTGACCTTGTCACCTGCCTGCTCTGACAAATCTCGGACGTTCTTCACCTCTGGTCACGTACTTGACTAGGCCGGTTTTAGGGAAGTTACTGTATCTTTTTGGCTTTTCCTTTCATTGTTCCCTTGGGGAAAAACACAGGAGAAACTCCAGTATCTGCTGGCTGAAAGGGCGCGAGGCCGAGGGCCAGCGCAGCACACCTTGGCGGGGGGCGGGCAGTTTGAACAGGCCACCAGCACGGGGGTGGCCTGGGAGGCAGGAGCTTTTACCTGCAGTTACAGGCGGGACCCATCATGAGAGGTGTCCTGTCTGTTCTCAAAAAGACATTAAAAGAGTGAAAAAATAATTAAAAATATAAAGAAAAGCTGTGCACCCAGAGCCGGGGCCCCGCCTCTCCTCAGGGTGTTTGACAGCGAGTCTTGCAGGCCGGGCGGCGGTGAGTCAGGGACACGGCTGCTCTGATAAGAGTCCACTGGCTGCGTTGGCACCCTGGGCGCGCCAAGTAACCTCCGAGGCGGGTGGCCCTGTGACTGTCTTGAATTGAGTCCTAGGACACGCGAGCTGGATGCAGTGGGGAGAAGACAGTCGGGTGCCACTGTCCGGTGCCGTCCACAGCCCCTGGGTCTCCACTGAGCGGGGGTTGGGGTCACAGTGACTGCGAGGACACAGAGACTTACGGCCCGAACTGTCCTGGCCCTCCCTTCCCCTTCCCCATCTCTCCCCCTCCCTCTAGGACCTGCAGGTCCCAGGGGGGCATTGGAAAGGCAGGGCTGGGCCACTCCTGGACAGGACTCCAAGGCCAGTGGGAGGTTCGAGAGGGGGCTGCGCTGACCCCTCCAGCCCAGGCTCACAGGCCCTCATCCGAATCAGGGAGGACTTTCAGGGCGTGTCGGGGTGCCTCTGGGGCCCTGGCCGTGCTCTGTAAATGTGTGAAATGCATGATTATTCACAGGAAAAGGTAAAGACTATAAATAACCTTGTGGTGCCCCAGACGGGTGTGGCCTTCAGTGGAGGTCAGGGTCAGCTTCGGCTGCCAAAGCAGTTATGAACTTGGTTTTCCGGGCTCTGTGGATTTTGGCGCTGTGGACGGAAGACTGAGTCTGCAGTACCGGCTGTCAGACGTAAACACCAGGCACTGAACCCCGCCGTGAGCTGGGTGCCGCCCTGCACACTGCCCTATGCATTTTCTCACCAAACCTCAGTCACCTCCCTGGGGGACAGGCACTGTTTTTCTCCTCCCATGACACGCTGAGGAAGCTGAGGCTCAGGCAGGACAAGGGACTGCCCGGGATCACAGAGCCAGTGGGTGACAGGGTTAGAAATGTCCTGTGTGTAGCGTGCAGGCAGCAGGGTGGTGGAGGGCATGGGCAGTGTCTGATGGCCAAGGTCAGGGAGAGGAGAGGGGGTGATAAGTTCAGACACTCAGACCTCCGGGTTGAGAAGCTTAAAGCAAGGGGACCGTGGACAGCCACGTCCTCCCTGGGTGTGGGGCCAGGAGGGCAGTGGGCCGCACCCTCTGCCACCCCGGACTCTCAGCTGAAAGGCTGAGCTTTGCCTGGTGATCTTCCCCGGCCAGGACTCGAGGCTGCACAATAAAACCCTGAAGAGGACCCGCAAGTTTGTGGTGGACGGCGTGGAGGTGAGCATCACCACCTCCAAGATAATCAGCGAGGACGAGAAGAAGGACGAGGAGATGAGATTTCTCAGGCAAGCCTGGGAAGGGGGGGGTGATGTCAGGGGGGTTGGCGTGGCGCCGGTCTTTGGTGGGAGAGCTGTCTGGGTAACAGAAGGGACAAGTCGAGACGGGAAAAGGAAGGTGGTTTTGCTTGAGATCCTGTACCCACCTGCTCACCCACCAATCCACTCACCTATCCACCCACCCGCTCACCCATCCACCCGCCCACCAATCCATCTGCTTACCCAGCCATCCACCCATCTATCCACCCCCATTCACCCAGGCATCCACCCACCTGCATCTACCCACCCATCCAAGCTTTATCCATCAGTCTATATATCCACCCACCAGGTTGGGGAACATGAACATGTTGGTGGTGCCCCAGGCAGTTGAGGCTGTTGGCTTTGTAGAAGTTACACCCAAAGGGCCAACACCCAGCACACGAGATGACCCCAACTGTGGGCACACGAAGGAAGTGATGGACGATATGAGAGCGAGAGGCTGGGCTGTGGGGGGGCCGCAGCTCTGAGGGAGCCTCCTGAACAGAACCCAAGGGTGAGAGGAGCCCCGGGCACTGCCAGTCTGAGGCCTGTCCAGGGAGCTGGGAGGACAGGGCGGGGGTGCGGTCCCCGGAGGCCTCAGGGCCGGGGTCGGGGTGGAAGAGTGTGGACTTTGCGGCAGCCGGGGTGATCCTGCTGGAGCGTGCCCAGCTCTTACGTCCCTTTGGCACGCTGGCCCTGCCTGCGGTGTGAGGATGGGCTGCAGAGACCCGTCCAGGACAGTGGCCAGGAGGAGGTGGTCAGACCTAACATACATCTTGGAGGCCAAACCGGTGACACAGAGAGGGGCTGTCTGGGGAGGAGCGGGGAGGCAAAGCTGGAGCCCCCTGTGTACTTTTTGGGTGCTCAGGCCCCCAACAGCCCTCCCGAGGGAGACCCTATTTTCACCACTTCATAAATGAGGAAACTTTTGGGCAGGTCGCCCGGGTGAGAAGGGGTCCAGCTGCCATAGCCAGGCCTGTCTGCGGGACAGTTCTGCACAGTTCCCGCTGGTCGTGAAGCTTCCCTGGGGTCTTCCAGGCACGGGCCGAGGGGCTCAGCAGTTGGGAGACCTTGGGGCCAGGCCTTTGCAGGGTAAATTTATTTTTGGTGTAGAGAATATTTCCAGAACATCAAACCCATCCATATTTTTGAAAAGCATAAACATCCAAAAGCCACAAAGAAGCAGTTTGGGGTGCCTTGGGCCTTCACTTGGCGTGGTTCTGCGTACACACGTGTGCGTGCACATACACACTGTGGTGTCATCTGTGTGGATTGGGGCAGTGAGGAGGAAAGGGTCGCTGTTGGCAGATGACACCACCTTCTGTGTGAACGGTCACCCGGGAGGTGACCCGTGTTCCTCAAGCGTCAGACCTCAAGGGTTGGCTTTCCATCAGGTGCCCCCTTGGGCCACTCGGGTTTCTGGCGCTAAAATCCCAGACTGACCACTCTCCGTGGAGAAACCGTGCCCTTCGGCCTGGCCCCCGCCCCCACCCTCCCCCTGAACCGAGGCGCTGTGTGCTGCTCAGGTTTGGAGGATGAAACCGGGCTGAGGTTCGGGAGAGGAGCTCACAAGGAAAAAGGCTTTTCTTGCCTGCTGCCGTGGTCGCGAGGGCCATGTCCTGTGAGCCTGGCCAGGCCACCAGGCTGCAGGGGTGCGGGAGGCGGTGACCGGCCACCCACAGCTGGCCCAGTACCTGCGCCACACCGGGGTCCTAGCATTTCCGGAGGATCTGGTCATGGGCGGTCCTTTGAACCATGTGACTGACAGTCACTGTCCCAGACTGAGACTCCCAGGTCAGAGTTCCTTCTCTTTTTCCCTGAAATGGTGCTGGTGCTGTTCTGTCGGAGAGTGCAGGGAGGTTGGGAGGTGCCGGTAGAACCTGGCTCTTCCCATCTTCCTGTGTCTTTCGGTCCGTTGTTCTGTAAGCCTGTTTCTCTTGAGTCAAGATTTCCGTCTTTCGGTTAACACTCTCGAAAGCGCCTCCTGCCTCCTCACTTCCCAGAGAGCAGAGGCTCAGAGGGAAGCTCCTTGATGTGGCCACACGAGGCGTCTCTGGCCTTTCCCAGAGATGGGCTCTGCTCCCTCATTATCAGTGGAGAAGGCGCCACTCCAATTGCTGGCTGCGTGACAGGACAGGCATCCTCTGGTTTAACAGTCCGAGAGCCCGAGCACCCGAGTGGTAGAGACACTCTGCCCCCTTTCACAGCTGCAGGAGCCCCGACCTGCCGAGACCGGGTGAGGCCGAGGCCCCGCTGCAGTCAGCGGGGTGGAGACTCGAGCAGGGTCCCTCTGACCCCGGAGTGTGCGCCCCCTCCTCCCGCAGTGGCTCTCCCCTCTCGGGCGGGCGAGGCAGGCAGCACAGTGGGGACCCCAGGGTGCAGGCCGCAGGTCCCCCACGAGGCCAGCACACGGGCTGCCGGGGAGCCCCCGGTCCATCAGGGGGCCCAGGTTCTTCTTTTCTGATTACAGAAACGGTCCCTCTCAGTTTTCCGCGGGCTCACTCGGAAAGAGCCGCAGTCATCAGATGGGGGGGCTACCCCGCCAGTGTTTTCTGTGAGCACGCACACGCAGGTGACGCAATTCTGTAGAAAACTACGGTACATTGTGTGGTTCAGGTCGAGTTTTTTTTTTATGGTATTGACATTTTGAATAGGTAATCTGATATTATCCTTAAGAACTCAAAAAGAAAAAAGGGTAAATAGTGAAAAATCTCCCTCGTTCACTTTTCTGCCAGGCCCCTATTCCCTTCCCCGTGTTACTGTTTTTCTATGTAATCCCCCCAGAAACACACAGTGTTTACATAGGGGAGTAAACACACACAGACACACGTGCACACATATGTTGACGTTTCGCCCAGATGGCAGCAGACCGACCCCCTGCCAACTCAGAGACTGTTCTGTGTCTGTTGTAATGAACGGCTGCACAAATACATGTTTCCCACGTCATTAAGTATCTTCTAAAACCTGGTTTTTAACGGTCCTGTAAAACCACATCACGTGGATACGTTTGAATTTAATTCGATCTCTACTGATGGGCATTGAAGTTGATTCCAATTTTGTACGGTGACGAATAGCGTTGTTATTAATATCTGCATTCAGTTTTGTTGTGCATCTGTGCGCACTGCTTTAGAATCACCGCCCAGAAGTGGAACCATTATCTCAAAAGGCATACACTTATTCCGAATTGTCCTCCGGGAATGCTGTACCCATTTATACCTCAGCGGGTTACAAAGGTAGCAATTTCCCCTATGATCTCACCTGTGTAGTTAATCAGAATGGTGTTTCTTTAAAATTTACACTTCATGTCCACGTAGGCTATTTAAAAATTTGTCTTCCGTTTCATGTCTGTGTCACTTTTTAAAAACTAGGATATTCCTGTTTTATTGATTTGTGAGCACTCTTTACATATGAAGGTTGTTGATGTTTGTCCATAAATGTCAACTGAAGCCTGAGTTCTGACCCTGCCTCTGCCCCGGAATAGTGTGATGCTGCTCCACACTCCGGCCCTCCGTGTCCCCCGCTGTGAGTTACAGGATCTCTGGGGACACTTTCTGATGGAGACGGCCACCTCTTTTAACCCTCCAGGCGCCAGGAACTCCGAGAGCTCCGGCTGCTCCAGAAAGAAGAGCATCGGAACCAGAACCAGCTGAGCAGGAAGCACGAGCTGCAGCTGGAGCAGATGCACAAGCGTTTTGAACAAGAAGTCAACGTGAGTGTGAGAAAAGTTGGGTCCCTTAAGCAGAAGCTGTGGAGTGGGCGTGACTGTGCGGCGGAGAGGGATTCACAGTTGCCCGACTCCTCTGGTGTCCCCATGACATTAGGCACTGCCTTGTTGTAAACACGTGAATTCCATGAAGGTGACAGCGCTCCTGAGTTATACAGGAGGGTCCCTAGAGGGAAAGTAACCTGCGTTGAGGATCGTGCAAGAACCTTGCAAGGTTGATGGTCTTGTCTCCCTTCTACACACGAGGGAAGAGACTCAGAGAGGTTAAGTGACTTCTCCCAGGTCACACAGCGGAGAGGTGATAGAGCTGGGATTTAAGCCCAGGTCTGAGAACAAACTCTGGGCTCTCCCACCCCCACTTCTCCCATCTCCCTCCCCCCTGGTGACTTATAAGGTGACTCTGCTGAATTCCTCCTCCCGCCCTGTCCAGGCCAAGAAGAAGCACTTTGACACGGAGCTGGAGAACCTGGAGCGTCAGCAGAAGCAGCAAGTGGAGAAGATGGAGCAAGACCACGCCGTGCGGCGCCGGGAGGAGGCCAAGCGGATCCGTCTGGAGCAGGAGCGGGACTACACCCAGTTCCAGGAGCAGCTCAAACTGATGAAGAAGGAGGTGACTGCGTGCTGAGTGGGGGCAGGGCGGTCTGAGAGCACTGGGGCGCTCTCGGTTGTGAGCAGTCGAAACCGCAGCTCAACCTTGCCCGGGCAACAGGGGCCTTAGGGGAGCTGGTTTTCCGAAGAAGCGCGTGTCCGGGTGGGTCTGCATCTGTGGCTCCGCCTGCACCGTCAGGAGCTACTCCTCCGTCACCGGGGCTCTGCTTGCCTCTGGGTTGGCTTGGCTCCCAGGCAGGCCTTCACCGTGGGGTCTCGGGCAGTTTCCTCCGTACCTTCCAGCTTAGCGAAGAGAGCAGGGGAGAAGGGGTGGACGGTGGCCAGGGGGATTTGAGATGCTGTCACCAGAAGGGGCTGTGGGTGCTGCCAGGACAAACACACATGTCGTCTGTGCCTGACCCTCTCTTCTGCCAGAATAGCGGTCCCTGAGTTTGGACCCAGGCAACCTTTTCCCTTTCCCCCCCATCCAGCTGGAGGGGGCGGGGGAGGCGGTCAAGACGGGACAGGGTCCTGAGACAAGGGGAGCAAGGAGGCGTGGCTCTCAGCCTGCCCTGGGGAAGGGGGTCCCAGAGAATAGTCCGCACCTCCGTGGGTTGGCCAGACACCGGGAGGCCACATGCGCTTTCCTGCCTCTCAAGAGGAAGAAGAGGTGGAAGTCCTGAGGGTGGCTGTACCAATCCTGGCCATTCCCAATCTGCACATGACGCTAGTGGGGGCACAACCTCTGGGGTAGTCCACGGTGGGGCCACCCCAGAGCCCGGCTCCAGACTTCAGGGTGTTGGGCGTGGCGCTTGGTGTCTCCAGGGGCCTGTAGGGGCAGGGCTGGGGCTGGGTGGGCCGAGGGAGGCACTCGCCACAGGCACGGGATTTAAGAGAAGCTCAGGAATCAAGATAAGTAACATTCTAAGGCAACGCGTTAAGATAAAAATGCACGCACAGTATTCGTGATGACAGAATATCGGCTGTGTAAAATAAAAACAGGATCCAGCAGGACGGGGATTGAGGGGAGGCAGTGAGGCCGAGCCCTGCAGGCACAGGGCTGACTCCTGTCTGTATTTAAAATGTCAATGTGTATTGATTTTACTTTAAACTTATACTTATTGATTTTTAGAGAGAGGGGGAAGGGAGGGAGACTAGAGGGAGAGAAACATCAGTGTGCAAGAGGTGCATTGCGCACCCCCAGCCGGGGACCTCGGCCTGCATCCTCCCAGCTCAGCAGCTCCAGAGGCCAGAGGGCAGCGTTTCCCAGGTGGTCCCAGCAAACGCCCTGCAGCCCTCACGGGCCCAGTAAGGGCCACGTGTTTCCTCTGCACCAGTCCCTGGGGCCAGGGCTTGGGGATCATAGACCCAGCCTCCAGTCAGATGGGGTTGGGGCGTCACCCCCACCTCACCCCAGGAACCGAGGAGAGGTGCCTAAACCGTGCGTTCTCAACCGGGGTGATATCACCACCGTGGGGTTAAAGCAAAGGAAACCCGAGAACAGACTCAGAGCATATCTGTGGGGTCGGTGTTTCGTGGGGGTGGGCAGTGAGGAAGGAGATGTCTACAAGGGTCGGGAGGGGGCAGTAATGGAGAACGGGGCGGAGAAACCTGCCCCGAAGGAAACCGAGGTGCTGTCCTCAGAAGGGAGTGGACACCGCGCAGCAGAACCAGCACCTGGCGCCCCGGGGAGTCTGGAAACTGAGTCAGGCAGTCAGCAGCGGGCCCGTAGGTGCCACCTGGCCGAGCGGCTGGCTGGGGGGCGGGGTTGGGGGCCAGCACCCAGGGAGCGTTAGGAGGTACCCTGACCCGGCCCCACTCTGCTGTCGCTGGCGCAGGTCAAGAACGAGGTGGAGAAGCTCCCCAGGCAGCAGCGCAAGGAGAGCATGAAGCAGAAGATGGAGGAGCACGCGCAGAAAAAGCAGCTTCTTGTGAGTCCTTGCCCCTCACTCAGGGAGTAGAGGGGCTCGGGGGTCCCAGGTTTGAGACCCCGAATGGTGACCAGGTCCCCCCTTCGTCTATGCCCCAGGCCCTACCCCTCGGATGCCTGTCTGTTATTCTGAACACCTAAATCCAGCCCATCCTTTTGTCATCCCTGTTACCACCTCTCTCAGGCAGTCTTCCTTGATTGCCCTCCCTCCAGCTGGAAGTGAGCTCTCCCATCTCTGGACACCCCAGCCCTTCACATCCACCTCTCCCCAAGCCTTTAGTGCCTCCTGCCTCATTTGGGGGTTGCTTGTACGTTACATCTCCTTGACCAACCCAGTACATCCATCCGTCCGCTCGGCATCTTTTGGAGTCTCAAAGACATCAGGCCCACCATCTCCAGACCTGGTCCTCTTCTCGTGTTTCCAGGGGGCACCACCCTCCATCCGGTGGTCAGGCCAGAGACCCTGTCATTCCTGACCCCTCCTTTCCCTCTGGTCCTTCGTTACTTCCTGGAGCATGTTTTTGTGTGTGTGTTTGATCTCCAGACTCCGGGTCCATCAGCCTGACCCACTGGCCGTTGTCATCTCTTCCTGGCCTGCCGCAGCCTCCTCCCCGCCAGTCTCTCTGCCTCCTCTTGTCCCTCTGCAGTTCTCTGTCACACCGGCAAATGTGACCATGTCCCCTCCCCCCACAGCCCTGTGCCTGGAGAACCTTCAGTGGCACCCCCTTTGTCCATGACATAGGACCAGCCTCCTAAACGTGCCTGCGAGACCCCGCAGGTCTGGCCCCTGCCGGCCGGTCCCCCTGACGCAGTCCCTGTGCCCCGGCCTCGCCAGCCTCTTTTGGCCCCTGACGGCCACATGCACATTTTTCTCCCACTGGGGAGCCTTTGCACGTTCTCCTGTGCCCCCCAAACGCAGAGACGTTTAGAGTCGACATTGCCAATGCTTGGTCTGGTTTAGCATTCGAGGCCCCCTTTGCAGAGGAGGGAACTAAGGCTCCGAGAGGTGACGCTGCAGAGGTGACAGTGAGGGCCGAGGCCTCAAACTCGGTCTGACTGCAGGCTTCCTGCTGTCTCCAGGACCCCGCCACCCTCCCCCACAGCCTGTCCCTTGACGCTCTGACTAGGAAAGGGACGCAGGACAGGGGAGGGTGGGAGACACAGGCCCTCACCCCCACAGAGGGACGGCAGATTGGCCCTTTCTTTGAGAGGACAATCTGGTAGTGGAATCAAGAGTCTCAAAAACGTGCACACCCTTTGGCCTGGATCTCCTGCTTTTAAAGACTAATCCCGAGGATTAATCATCACAGGGACTCACGGACCTTTAGCTCCCAGAGTGTGAAGAGTGGCGCCGTCTAAAGTAGGGAGCCCTGGGAGCAGCCTGCTATACGCTGGGTAAATCAGTTAGGGGCTGGCCTGACCGTGCAGGGTTCTCAGCCATGAGCCTCCTTTGATAGAATGTTACATTATAACACGGAAAGGTCTTCTAAATAGTACTTTTAAATTGAGGTAAATAGACACAAGGTAAAACAGCCATCTCAACCACTTTCCAGCGCCCCATTTAATGCGTTGACTACATTCACGCTGTGCCGACCTTTCTCACCTTGTCAGACCGAAACCCTGCCCGTGGAACACTGACTTCCGGCTCCTCCCCTTGGAGCCCCTGGCAACCACCGTTTTACTTTCCATCTCTACACATTTGACCTCACATAAGCAGAATATGCAGTGTTTGTCTTTTTCTGACTGGCTTATTTCACTTAACATAATGTCCTCAGGATTCATTCATGTGGTAGCGTGTAGAGGGATTTTCTTCCTTTTTAAGGCTGAGTGATATCCCATTGTATTCATAGACCACATTTTGTTTATCTGTTCATCTGAGGATACCTGAGTTGTTGCCATCCCATGGCTGTTGTGAGTGAGGCTGCTGTGAACACGGGTGTACAGATCTCATGGATCTCTAACCACAATCCCATAAACGCACCTAAAACATTTATCTCACCCTGGCTGGTGTAGCTCAGTGAATTGAGTACCAGCCTGCAAACCAAAGGGTGGCCGGTTCAATTCCCAGTCAGGGCACATACCTGGGTTGTCCGCTAGGTCCCCAGTAGGGGGCGCATGAGAGGCAACCACACTCTGGTCTTTCTCTCTTCCTCCGTCCCTTCCCCCGTCTTAAAATAAATAAATAAATAAAGTCTTTAAAAAATTTAAATATCTCACAACAGTCGCTTAATAGCATCGTTTGCAGTCAAGTCAGTATTCACATTTCCAATTGTCTCATAAATATCGTTTTGTACCAGAGCCCATATAAAGGGTCCCACACATCACAATTGGCTGCTGTGTCTCTAAGTCTCCCTTGAATTTCCCTCCTGTGTATTTCCTAAGTTTTCTTTGGGATCATGCGACCTTCTGTAATGAACGTAAGAGTCGAGACGCCAAAGCCAGCAGTAAGTAGAGGTCTGTCCTGCCCCCTCCCCGCAGGACCGGGACTTCCTCGCCAAGCAGAAGGAGGACCTGGAGCTGGCGATGAAGCGGATCACGGCGGACAACAGGCGGGAGATCTGTGACAAGGAGCGCGAGTGCCTCACCAAGAAGCAGGAGCTCCTTCGAGGTGCGTGCCCGAGAGCGGGCGGGGCCCCCGCTGGCCCAGAATCTGCCAGTGGGCCTCCAGCCTCTGGGAAGAAAGAGCTGCTGGGTCGCCTCCATCCTAAAACTCAGTGTCATCCTTCATGGTGGAACGTGGGGAAAACCCCGCTGAAGTCAGGGGCGAGGCAAAGATACCGGCTGTCAGTCAGCATGTCTGACACTATTCTACCTGTCAGGGGAAAACCAGGAGGTGACCAAGTGGGTGGGACCCCTAAGTGAGCTGGGTCACTGGGGTGGCCGGGGCGGGGTGGGGGGCGCGGCCTGTTCTCAGAGCCTCGTGCAACGGCTACCCCATACTGAGCGACTGCTCTGCCAGGCCTTTTTTGTACCTTGACCTCACTGAGCCCTCCCCTTACCCTCGTGAGGCATACAAGGCCGGTTCCACCCTTCTCCCCGGTTTCATAGATGGGGAACTGAGGCTTAGCGAGGGGCCGTTCTCGGGCCGAGGTTGCAGCTCCTGGGGGTGCGAGGGGCCTGGAAGGCAGACCTCTCTGTGAGACTGAGCTCTTCCCTCCGGTGCAGTGGCATTTTGACAGGTTTGCACACTGGCAGTCTCCCAGCAGGAGACCTTTCAGGGACAACAGTGTGGGCCACCACCCAGAGGGACGGGAGACCTGGGGACGAAGGGGATCAGACACGGTGTACGTGTGCCTGGCCTCTGTCACTCGGCTCCCTGAGGGAGCGCCAGTGGGGAGCCTCTGGTTGAGGCAGCGCTGAAGGGCAGCAGGGGGCTCTTCACAGCCCCGGGTTTGCTCTCGTCTTAGGTTAGCGGAGGTTGGGTGTGGTTCGGGGGTGCAAAGCAAGCGAGCTGTAAATGGCTGGAAATCTGTTAAGGGGGCCACATTGAAAACAGACGGGTGGCTTTTGTGAAGGCGTAAACCCAGGGCCGGTTATACCAGCGCCGTCTGTGGCTCATTTACAGGACAGTGGAAACCCCTCTCTACTCAGCGTGGGCCAGCAAAACGGGGCCCCTGAAGTTCCGACACGCTGAGCAGAGCCCCGGATGTCCCGGGGAAGCCCTGTTTCCTGTCCCATGATGTCCCTAGGAACCGTCCTGCCTGTGGGACGGTGGTTCTGACGTCGCTCCGAGGTTCCGTGGGTCAGCCCCGGCTTCCACAGGACAGGAGTGCAGTGAAGTGGGCTGAGCAGTTGCAGTGGGCTGAGCGCCATCGGCTCAGTGACTTGCCCAAGGGTCGAGTAATAGACTGCAGCGCTAGAATACTGTATGACTGTCCCGGTGACGCGCGTAAGGGCCAGTGGGAAGAGTGCCAGGGGCCATGCTGTCATGTCCACGGGGCTTCGTAGCCCCTCCCACTTGCCTGCCAGGAGAGCAGCGGAGACGTGCAGACGGAACATAAATGTCTCCCCAGGGCGGTTCTCTCTCCGTGGCAGGGTCGTGCCCATTTGGCAGAGGTGGAAGCTGAGGCCGGGGGAGGTATTTTACTTGTCCTAAATCCCAGTGTTGGAGCTGGGTGCCAGCCCAGGTCTCGATGTCCCTGGTTCCTGACTCCATATATGTCTTGCTGTAGTGTGCTCTCGTCCCATGGGTATTAAGGAAGTTTCTAGGAGTTGGCTCAGTCCGCTCCTCTGGTGCAGCCTCACGAGGCACGGTTATCCGCTGCAGGGGGAGAAGGCCTGGCGCCGGGCGGGGGAGGGCCCGGCGGGGCTCTGGCCGCCTGCGCCTCACGGAGCGGTGTGTCCTTTGCAGAGCGGGAGGCTGCGCTGTGGGACATGGAGGAGCAGCACCTGCAGGAGAGGCACCAGCTGGTGAAGCAGCAGCTCAAGGACCAGTACTTCCTCCAGCGGCACGAGCTGGTGCGCAAGCACGAGAAGGTGAGGCCGCCCCCTGGTGGCGCCCCACTCGGGGGCCATCTCTGCCCCCAGAGGAGTCGGGCTGGACGTGGCGGGGAGGTTCTGGGGGCACCACACAGGGAAGCCAGTGGCCCGAGCTGCTCCCTCACTGACTCTGATGCTCCATGCGTGTGTCCTGTTCACGCTTTTGTTCCTCTTTCCTCATCCTTTTGTCCTGCCTTCCTTCCCATTGTCTCTTTCCCACGGATTCCTTTAGAACACTTGCAGGGTGTCCAACCTTTCGGCGTCCCTGGGCCACACCAGAGGAAGACAAGTTGTCTTGGGCCACACATTAAATACCCAAAACACTAATGAAAACTGATGAGTAGAAAAAGGTGTTGAATAAATTTAGGATTTTGTGTGGGGCTGCATTCATAGCCATCCCGGGCCATGGGTTGGACACCCTCAGGTATCACCCTAAACAGTACCTCTGCCTGGAGCCCTCCCTCCCCTCCCCAGAGCAGGGGAGGCCCCTACACTGTGAGGCGACAGCACCTTCCACTTTTGTGTGATCGTCTGTCTCGGTTTAGTCTCCTTTGGTGGGGACACAGACAGATAACCGAGGTCTGGCTGCACAGCTGGTGTGGGTAACTCCAGTTTCTACGCTAAGTGCAATGACGGAAGTCGGCTTAGGGCTGTGGCGGCTCCAAATAAGGGTGCCCAGCCTGGTTAGGAAGTCAGGGTGGGCTTCTTGCAGGAGGTGACGCCTGTACCGAATTTTGAAATATTTACAAATAAGTGTTAGGTGAACGAAAAATTCAAATTTATCAAGACTTCAAAAAATACGAATTGGCATCTGTCATGGAAATGGTAAACCGTTTTAGTGTACACTTGGCTTTGAGATATGAGCTCACGGTGGCATGCCACCTTTGGTTAGATAAGAGGGTGTTGAGAAGAACCCAGATGTTAATAACAATACTTCTCAAAGGGAGAACAGAAAGTGGTACTTAACGCAAAGAGGTACCGCTTTGCGCTGCTGAGCATTCTGCGCCACATGGGTCCCGGGCTTCCCGTGGAGCGTGGCAGCCTTTGGCCCCTGACGGCACGGCCATGCCCGGAGCGCGGCTGACCTTGGCCCTGGTTGGCTGTCCCCCCCCAGGAGCGGGAGCAGATGCAGCGCTACAACCAGCGCATGGTGGAGCAGCTGAAGGTGCGGCAGCAGCAGGAGAAGGCGCGGCTGCCCAAGATCCAGAGGAGCGAGGGCAAGACACGCATGGCCATGTACAAGAAGAGCCTGCACATCAGCGGGGCGGGCAGCGCGGCCGAGCAGCGCGAGAAGATCAAGCAGGTAGGGTCCCTGGTTCGCTGGAGCGGGCGTGGGCCAGGGTGTGGTGGGGCCTGTTCCTCACCCAGCTGGCGAACATACAGTGTGAGATGCAGCAGAGGGGCTCGGAAGGAAGTATGCAAGCCACGGGCCGGACGCCTCCCAGGCCTCACCACAACCCTCTCTGGTGGGCAGAGGATGGCTGGCGCCACCCTGTCGTGCTCCGCTCCCTCTCCCTGCAGCGTCCTCGGCTGCTAAGCCCCTTCCTCTCATCCACCATGACCCTGCTTGCAGGTCACCAGTGAGGCTCAGGGACTTGAGTTGCTTCTGTGCTTTGTGTGAGGCACACATCACAGCCCCGTGTCGTGTCCCCACCAGCCTCGAGGGCAGGGGCTGGGTCTCAGCTCAGGGGCAGGACTTCAAATGGGAGAGGGGGGCACAGACTGAGTGGTGTGGGGTGCCAGTCCCTCTGATGCGGCCTCCCTGGGACAGGGCCGGCCGAGGAGGGTCCCCAGCCCAGCCCAGGGCCCTGAGGCTCCCGCTGTCTCTCTGTCGCAGTTCTCCCAGCAAGAGGAGAAGAGGCAGAAGTCGGAGCGGCTGCAGCAGCAGCAGAAACACGAGAACCAGATGCGGGACATGTCTGCCCAGTGCGAGAGCAACATGAGCGAGCTGCAGCAGCTGCAGGTACCGACCTTCCGCTGCCCCCCCACTGCCTCAGTTTCCCCAGGGCAGTCAGTTCAGGGGCAAAGACTGTACCCACAGGGAAGGCTTCTTGTCTGACAAGCAGAGGGTCAAAGGGCTTCATACCCACTTGGCCATGTGAGGGTGGCCAAATGACCTCACCCTCCCAAGCCGTGGTTCCACATCCATAGAATGGGCTCGGGGTGAGGGCGGTACCTCCCACTTTGCAGGATTGGAGTAAGGCTTTGAAAATGAGCTGAGGGCGCCTTACCTGCAGCCTCGCTGCTAGATTTCTCAATCATCACCGTGATTTGGGGGAAAGGTGTCCCGCTCACCCTAATACCAAACCCAGACCCAGACAAGAAAGGAAAACTACAGACCAGCATCTCTTTTGAACACAGATGCATAAATCCTCAACAAAACATTAGCAAACTGATCCCACAGTGTATAAGAATTACACACCATGACAAGGGGCGTTTATCCCAGGCTGGTTCAACATGTGAAAATCAGTTAATGCAGTCCATGACATCACCAGACTAAACAAGAAAACACACATGATCGGTTATAGAAAAAGCATCTGACAGAAGCCCCTTTGTTCACGATAAGCACGCTCAGCAAACTAGGAAGAGAGCAGAACTTTCTCAACTTGGTAAAGGACATGTGCAGAACACAGCCAATGTCATTGTGTTGGGGGGCAGCTCAGGGCTCTCCCTCTGAGCTCCCACAAGGTGCCCTGCTGTTGCCAAGCCCCCGGGTGGCCTCTTTCCCTCGGGAGACCCCTCACCTCTGGTTTCCTGGCTCTGAGTTTGCCCCACCCCAGGGGCTAGTGCTGAGAGTCCCCTCGCGGTGGATTGGGGCATCCTCTTAGTGACAGGTGGGCCTACTCAACCTCCGTGACCTCGGGAAATGGCTCAGGCTATTGGATGCACCCGGCAGTTTCTGGAGAGCCAGGCGGGCGTGAAGGAAACACTTTATGCGCACCGAGGCCTGCCAGGCTGGGGCTTTGCCCTTTGATGCTGTGTGAGTTTTGGCTGCTCACCTGCATCTGTTTTTCCATCCCTGCCTTGTGGGGTTACCTGAGGATGAACTGGGAAAACCCACGCTGAATGCTGGGAGCCCAGGTCCTCGCAGGTCCCAGGCACTCAGTGCTGCTGTGAGTCTGATTCCCAACTAAACCAGCTTCTTAAACTCCCAGAACCCTTGAGCTTGCAACCCTGTAATAGCAGCCCCCCCACCCCAGCAGAACGTCCCGGTCAAAATGGTGGAGTCGGTCAGTGTTGGGCTCACCTCCTCCCACAGCCACGTCAAACTGTAGAACCACCGGGACTGGAAACCACCTGGGGATCAGCTGCACAGAAGCCCTCAGACTAAGGACATAAAGAAACCCCAGGATGGGCCGAGACATGGAGCAGGCAGGTCCCGTATGCACTGTTTGGCCATTAAGAGTCAGGAAGGACATCTCTGCTGCAGAGGTCATCCCTGAGGTGTGCAGGGTCCCAGCCCTGAGACAGACACCCAGCCCAGGACTGCAGTGCTGGGAACAGGTGTCCGCAGAGTACCTGCCGGGAAAGCCAGCCAGGAAGCGTCTGAGTGTGGCAGAGGGGCTGCCGGACACTGAGAACGGAAGCAATCCAATTAAAAAATGGGTAGAGGACCGCAGTAGAATCTCTCTCGAGAGGACATACAGACGGCCAATAGACACACAGAAAGATGCCCAACATCACCAGTCATCAGGGAAATGCCAATCAAAACCACAATGAGATACAGCCTCACCCCTGTGTGAACGGCTGTCATTGCTAAATCCACAGACAACACATGTCATGAGGATGTAGAGAAAAGGCAACCCTCGTGCACTGCTGGTGGGACCCAGGTTGCTGCAGCCACCAGGGAAAACAGTGTCGAGGTTCCTCAGAGACCTAAGGCGAGAACTGCCACCTGAGCACAGTCGCCCTTCTGGGTGCTCGCCTGAAGAGTCCCAAAGGCCAGTTCGAAGAGATTCATGCCCCCTGTTCGCTGCAGTGTTATTTACAGTGGCCGAGGACAGAGGCAACCCGAGTGAGTGTCCATCAGCGGGTGAATGGGCACAGGTGATGTGGTGCGTGTGTACAACGGAACATTACTCAGCCATGAGAAAGAACGAAGTCTTAACTATTTGTGACAACATGGATGGACCCGGAGGGTGTGATGCTGAGTGATGGCAGTCAGTACCATATGATTTTGCTTATATGTGGAATCTAAAAAAAAAACAGAAACAAACTAAACAACTCATAATACAGAGAACTGATGGTCCCAAGACGGGCGAGGGGAGGGGTGGACAAGGGGAAGGGGTTGAGAGGCACAAACGAGCAGTTACAAAAACGGTCACGGCGGTTTAAAGTGCAACATAGAAAACACGGTCACTAACATTCTCAACTGTATGCGGTGTCAGGTGGGTCCCTGCCTTAGGGAACAATCACTTGGTGAGTTACAGAAGGGTCTAACCACTACTTCGTTCACCTGAAACTAACACAATATCGTGTGCCAACTGTAATTGAAAAAATTTAAAAACTTCTGAGGAATTCCCCCACGGGGTGCCGCTCTTCCAGCCCAGCGGGGCGGAGGTCACTGGATAAAGGCGCCCCCTCTGCTTCATAAGGTCCTTGCGAACCCCAAGGTGGATCCTGTGTGAGGAGCCAATGGGGACTTGCCACCTCTGCCTGTGAGAGACCACAGCCAAGTTTTGGGAGGCGGACACTGCATCTCAGAGTGAGAGCAGTGGGGCTGGCCCAGCCTCAGCCTGGCTGCACAAATCTATCCTGATGGAATGCAATGCAACGCAGAAAACCACGTCATGTGTAGAAACGTAACTCCTTATGTGTACTGAGTATCTTAGCTCAGGCGGCCACACCACAGAAGCTTCATTTTCTCCCCGTCCTGGAGCCTGAACGTCCAAGGTCAGCCGGCCAGCGTGGTCTGAGTCTGGTGAGGTAGCCTCTCTTCCTGGCTTGCAGATGGCTGCCTTCTCGTTGTGTCCTCACACAGCAGACGGAGAGACAGGATGAGCAAACCCTCCGGGGTCTCTTCTTACAAGGGTCCTAAGCCCATCCGAGGGCCCTGTCTTCATGGCCTTGTCTAAACATACTTATCTCCCAGGAGCCCCACTTCAGATACAGTCGCTCCCGGGATTAGGGCTTCAACATGGGAGTTTTGGGGGAGACCCCAGTCAGTCTGTAGACACACTGCTAAATAGTGAAAATTAGGGGCAGCCTCAGTGGCCAGAAATAGGGCTGTCTAAGTAAGTGTGATGGATCCGACGAACGATGGTTGCAAGAACGTTTTTCTTTACAGAAGTGCTCAGTGCTGAGTGGGGAGGGGCACAGGCTCCGAGCTGTGCGTATAGTGTCCGCCAAGCAACACGCAGGACAGAGCTCGACAGGACACACCCCGCTAGCTGAGCTTTCATGGTGGTTGTCTCTGTGCTGGGAGAGGGCACAGACTGTCTTTGTTGTTAGTTTGGTTGTTTTGTTAAAATCACATGGTTGTATTAAAAATTGAAACATCGCGCAAAGCAGAAAGTTGCTGTCACTGTGGATCCTGCTACACAGTGAGAAATGTTAACGTAGGTATTCTGGACTATTCCCCCAGTCACCTCTGGGGGCGCTGTGTATTAACACGGAGTTTTCTGTAAATGGGGTTTATAACCAAGGACAGGCAGTAATGGGATGATGTGGTGCCCACAGGGCCCCAGCACAGGTGTGTCTCAGCCCTGTGTCCCTGGCTTCTGAGTTTCTTACCTGCTCCGCCTGGAATCTGTTCCAGAATGAAAAGTGTCACCTCCTGGTGGAGCACGAGACCCAGAAGCTGAAGGCCCTGGACGAGAGCCACAACCAGAACCTGAAGGAATGGCGGGACAAGCTTCGGCCCCGCAAAAAGGTAACCACGCCTGGGCTTAGTGGTGGGCTCAGCAGTGGGCTCTGCCCGTGCTACAGGTGTCTGCCTGCCCAGGGGGCAGATGCACACGTATAGCTTTAATTTAAGGAGCTGGCTTGCCCAGTTGTAGGGGGCTGGTAAGTCCGAACTCTCCAGGGTGGGCTGCATCAACCCAGGGGAGAGTCGAGGTTGCAGTCTTCGGTCCTTAGAGCAGCCTGGAGGCAGAATTCCCTTTTTCTTAGGGGGCCCTCAACTGATTTGGTGAGGCCCACCCACACTCTGGAGGGTAATCTGCTTTACTCAAAGCCCACTGGGCTCAATGGGAGTCACACCCACACAACTCCTCCACAGTGACATCTGGACTGGCATTTGGCCAAACAACTGACTACCACAGTTGACAAACAAATTAGCTGCCCCAGGGTCTCCGTGCGGTCCCTCATAAAGCGGAGACGTGAATGCTGTACGCTGTTATGGGAAAAGTCAGCAGCCCACAGCACAGGCCATGGACTAGGCAGGCCAGGACGTCCTCACTGCCTTCCAGTCTCCTGACCCCTCGGAGGAGAGCACTGTCCTGTTTGCCGTCGGTGGCGTGGCCTGCAGCCCTGAGGCTTGCTTGCCACTGGACGTCAGCTCGGCTCGCCGCAGCGGTGGTCTGGGCGGGAGGCAGCTGCTCACCTCAGCCATGTAGACAGCCTTGGAAGCCCTTGGGCTGAGGCTTCCCTCCCTGTGCTGATGGAGCCTCCTGGCAGGAAGCTGGCCAGGGTCCCAGAACTTTCTGTTCACAGGCCTACGCTCATCAGTTTCTGTAGCTGCGGCCTGCTGGGACTTCTAATACTCGACACTCAAATCAATAATGCACCTGCTGACACAGGTTGACTCTGGCATAGGAAATAAACATTAACCTGGTCTCTCACCTGGGGGTTCTTTGTACCCTTGGCACATCCCGAGAGGGCTCGATGTGAGTGACTGTGTTGCCTCTAGCAACTGCCTCACATTCCAGATCGCCCCATGGCACACCTGGACCTGGGGGGCCACCACAGGTGTGTGTTCGGGGAGCTGCCTCTGCAGAAGTCCCTGTAGCGCTGTCCTGTCGTTGGTGACCTGGGCTGCTGCTGGAACACTGGCCCAGAGGTGGTTCTCCTTCTGGAGTAAATGCCCTTTAACCCTCCTGCATCACAGTCAGCAGCCTTGAGCTGCTATGTGTGGGGCAGGGGGAGAGGATTGGGCATTGGGGACCATTTTTAGAAACGTTCAGGCTTCTTTCAGGGAAGCACAGGGTATCGGGCAGCGTCAGTGAAGTGTTGGTTGGGTCACAGGCAACACAGAACAGGGCCTCAGGCAAGGCCGGTTTTCTCTCCGGAACCTTGCTTTTTGGGCTGTGAAATGTGATAGCATGTAGTCCCATGAAGCAGATGTTTGTAAACAAACTACTGCCCGAGGGCTCAGTCTGGCCCGCCACCTGTACCTGAAAATAAGGTTTTCTTGGAACACAACATGCACGTTCACTCACACATTGTCTGTGGTTGACTGCCCTGCAGCCGCGGAGAGGTTGTGACAGAGACCCTACAGCCCGCAAAGCCAAAAACATTTACCGGCTGGCCCTTCACCGAGATAGGATCGCGCTCCCTGCCTTGGGGCGCACAGAGGACTGGCGGTCAGGAGAATAGAGCAGAACGGGGAGCACCGCTCCAGAGTGACAGACGTGGGGCGAGGCCCCGGGCGAGTTACCACCCCTCTGGCGGTAGCTGTGGGCACTACATTGCTGTACCTGTAGCAGAGGTCCCTGACTGACCACCGCCCAGCGGCCGACAGTGGCTTACAGGCGTGAGGTTTGGCCAGTATGTAGCAATTTAAATGTTTTTGAGAGTTGCCGACTAAATTTTACATAAAAATCTGGACTTCCAAGTTTCTTTTGAAAACCAGGAGCTCCGGCAACACTGGACCCATCAAAGTACAGGACGGCGACCAGAGGGAACCGAGAGACGCTGCCCTCTGCAGGCACAACAGCAGCGAGAGCTCCCCCCTTGCCACAGTCCCCACCCTCCCCGTCCGCCCCTCACCTTCTCTGTCCCCTGGCTCACTCACCTAGGCCCTGGGTTTTGTGACCTCTGTTACAGGGGCTGCTTTTGTCTTATGTATGTCTGCTTGTCACAGACACTTGAATACTAATGCATCCAGCAAAAAAGAGCTTGAGCCAAGAGTCTGTGTGAATTACCTGAAGGGTCACTCATGTCCAGCCATGATGAGACACGACTTAAAACACCTTGCCCCCCCTCACCTTGCAGTCTCCCTGCCTGTCCTAGGGTGTTGTGATTCAGTGTCCTTTCCCTACATTCCTTTAGAGGTAGAGAGAACTTGCTAGAATTTAGTACTATTGAAGCAATAGGAGCTTCGGGGGAGATTCTGGTAATTAAGTTGTTTCTTAAGTGGAGACTATTTTGGGGCAGAAAATAGTCTTAAAAAGAGATAATAGAGGGCTGGGCAAGTCCAGTGACCACAGATACTTCTCTAGGAAAGGGGGGGAATTCTGGCCGATGATCAAATGCCTGTTTATAATGAAGCCACGTTAACTGAACAGCCCGTGTGCCCAACTTTGCAGGTGGGGGGCCAGTGTTTCAGAGCATGAGTGCGTACATCAGACCTAGGTTCAATCTTGCCTGTGCCCCGAGCTAGGTGAGTGGCCCAGGCCAAGGGCCCCAAGCTCTCTGAGCCTCAGTTTCCCCGTCTCTGAGATGGGATAACAGCAGCTACATCGCAGGGTGAAGATGAGATGTGATGTGCAGGAACCCTCAGGAACTTGGAGCCATTCGCTTTTCATACAGTCTCACGGCAGCCCTGCGGGGCAGGAGGACCGTTGCCATGTCACACACGAGGAAATAGAGGGGAAGGGAGACATGCAGGGCACACAGCTGGTAACGCTGAATTCGGCCTGACTGCAGAGCCCTCAAGAGACTTTTCTCTAGGACCGAGTCTGTCTGGATGAACCTGCACGTTCCCAGGGAGGCCGGGCAGTGCTGGGTAACAAGACGCTCCCCTGAGTTGCCTCATGTACTTTTACGGCACAGAGCACCCGTCGGCCACCAGTTTTCGGAACTGGGAGCTTGGGGGGTGTTGTGACACCACACGCATGTCGAAAACTCCCTTGGTGACTTCTGTGGGGCCTGGTCCTGGCTAGGAACACCGTGCGACTCGGACATTTCTGCTCCCCTTGCTATTTAATCTCTCTCTCCATTTTCCACCTCGGGGTTTTCTCCCCTCGTCTGGCTGTTTCCGTGCCAGCAGACTTGCTTTCCCCCACTCACGTAGGTTGCCATTTCCCCAGGATGTAGCCCTCGGCTCACGGGAAGCTCCTATATGGCTGTGGCCAGTGGGGAGGGGGAGGTGGCTTTTACCTTCTGGGTGACAGCTCTGTGAAAGGAAAGAGGGAAGACAAGTCACCCACGCACTAAGGCCCGGGAGGGACATTTCCAGAGGAAGCCACTTTGGGGTGGGGAGACGTGTGTCCCGTGGAATCTGGTCGAATTCCCACTCCCCTCTCTCTGTGCCAGGCTCTGGAAGAAGATCTGAACCAGAAGAAGCGGGAGCAGGAGATGTTCTTCAAACTGAATGAGGAGACCGAGTCCCCGGTCCCCACCACCCCAAACAAGGCCACCAAGTTCTTCCCCTACAGCTCTGCGGATGCTCCCTAACAGCCACTCAGGGCTGTGGCCGGCAAGTCAACGGGCTTCCGGGGCCCCCCCATTCTCTGTGAACAAGTAACTCAGGACCCCCTTCTCTCACGTTTCCCTGCTGGCTCCGGTCCAGCCCCTGCCTGTGCGACCCCAATGTGCCTGACTTCTCACTCACTCTTGGAGGGTGAGGTTTTATTAGGTGTTGCCTAATGTTAATGTCTTCTCTTTGAACCCCGGGCCCCTCCAAGCTGTCGGAGATTTGGGCCATGGATGGGGCGGGGTCTGGGAGCAGCGAGTGTTCTGTGGCCCCCAAGCCCCTCCTGTTTGTCCTGACACCAGTCTTGTTGTCTGTGGGCGCCAGGTGCTGCAGCCAAAATCACCATGGGCTCCTCCGTTTGTTGTCATTCTTGGTGGCTTTTCAGCCATTCCCCGTGGTGTCCGACAAGAATCATGGCTAACAATCAGGGGTGCCCTCCTTTCTCCAGTTCCCCCAGCGCGCTTTGCTCTTGAGGCCATGTCTGCAGTGGGCGAGAGCCGGCATCGTCCACTCTGCTGGAGTTTCATGCCACCTTCTGCTGCACCCCTGGCCCCTCACACAGAAAGGGCTTGGGCCCCTGGTACTACCGGGCTTGCCCCCACCCTGGGCCTCTTGTGCCAGCTGGGTTGGAATCTGCTGTCTGAGCCCTGTTGGGTACTGGTATGGGGCGTGCTGGCAAAATGGCACAGGGCGAATGGCCCGTGATTCCTTTCGGCCCCCAGGTTCAGGGATAAACCCCTCTCACCACATATTTTCACAGCTCAGTCTATTTCCATCTCACACTTGCCCGGGGGGGGGGGTTTGGGGAGGCTGTCTCCCTCCGCCCTGTGCCCCTCCGCCTCCAGCGGAGGCGACCTCCAGCCCTATACTTCAGACAGAGGCTGGAGGTCGCTGGGACTTTTGTTCAGGAAGCAAAAGCATCAGAGAAATACACGAGGCTTCCTCCGCCCTCCTCTCCCGCCAGCACGGCAGAGGCAAAGCTTCTGTAGCGTGAACAGAATCCTGGGGCTGCGGCTCACTCAGCCAGCCCCCCCAGATTCCAGTCCCCAATGCTGCAGTGTCGATAACACAGTGAAAGCAAGAGCTCAAACTGGCATTTGGCCTATTTACAAAGAAAACCTTTGTCACCTTTGTTTCTGACCTGAAACAAGTATAGATGAATGATGTCTTCAGGACGATACCTAGTTTAAAGGAATGAGAAAGCAAAGGTGGTTTTGAGGAACCCCATGGGCACACTGGGTCTGGGCACTATTTTGCTGCTGACAGAGCAGCTGCCACACCTGGGGAGGACTTTCTCCTCCTTGACGCCTTATGGTTGGTTAGGTTAGAAGTTTTGCTTTTCTAAAGCAGTTTCCTGGCAGTCGTCTTGGCACTGGCTGTCCTCCTGCCCTCCTGGATCTTGCAAAGGGAGGGCGGTCATTCAAAAGGAGAAGGGACTAAGGGTTCCCGAGCCTGACAGACGCACCAGAGATGCTCCGGAGGCTGTGGGAAGGCAGCCCGCTCTCAGGCTCCTGCGCATTCCGCTCGCCTGCGCAGTCCTTGGCCCGGGTGGGACACCTGTCAGGTATGAACGAATGAAACGCGAACCGAGGGTCCCCTTTGACTCTCTCAGGTACATGGTGCCTGGGAAGTGGGAAGTGGCAGCAGTGTGACGACAGCTCGTGCCAGTTCCGCCAGGGCTGGCGGGGGCTTTGTTTACAACACGTGGTGTCTGCGGCCTGGGGCGTAAGAATGAGGATCAGGTGAAGAGCCGGTTCTGCGGCTCAGACACGTCTTGGGTCACTCTCTGGTTTGGCTTGTCATTCACGCTGGAATCTTGTTGAAGGAGTGGCTGCTCCCCTGCCCGGTGCCGCCTGAGCCCTAACAGGTCCCCTGTTCTCGCTGGACGGGGTCTGGCTTGGTCGCCCAGCCTCACTATCGGGCCAGTGTGCAATGCCCGTCACTGGGAGGACCGCACAGTATTCCTGGTTCCCTGTGCCGATGTTTCCTCTGGGAGGGACAGATGAAACTGTTACTCATTTTCAGTCCATTGACCGCGGAATAAATATAGCTAACTTATATTTTCCCTTTACGAAGGATATTAGTTATTTTTATGTAGATTCCAAACTTTATACAAGACTTTTGTAAAGTGTTCTTTGCAAAGTTAACTACAAGAATGTAAATATGCTTCTAATAAAATAACAAGGGGAGGAACTCGGCTTGCCTCTGGGGCTGTTCTCTTGGACGGGGGTGGAAGGGCAGGGCACACTTACCCACGCTGCCCAGACGGGAGAGGGCACGCTGGTGTTGGAGCCCGGGCGCGCCTCCCGGGTCATCGGGCAGGTCCCACTTCGCGGTTTCTGTTCTGAAAGTTGTGATGCCTGGCTGTGTGGGCGCTTTCTCTAGACTTTTAATACGATTCTCATTTAACTACGAACATTCGACTGTCAGGAGTTTTTACCTATTAACCTACTGAATCCTTTCAACAACCCACGAAGACAGTGTCGTTCCCGTTTTATAGACGAGGAAATGGAAACTCCGGTCAGTTTTGTTGAGAGCAAAGTTGGGAACCGCCTGACTAGCAGAAAGCCTTTTTTATTGAGTCACTGGAGAAATTCACCTTCTTGGCTTCTGGGAGCATGCCGAAAGCTCTCTACCATGATTTCTTCAATGAGTACTAGTTATGCCTGTGCAGCAGAGAGAACCGATTGTTCAGCGAATTCCACCTACTTCACTCCCTCTTCGAGGCTTACAGGAAGAGCACACCCTTTAGCGTCCCGTCCGGCCCGAGGACTGACTGTGCGGCTGGGCCCTGACCAGTGAGGAGAGTATGCTGGATGGTGTCCTGAAATAAGGTGTTAACCACGAGGGAGCCTCCCCTCCGGCCCAGCGACACCGCAGACCCCGAGCTCCAGAGGGTCTAACTTGAAGGTGGAGGCCTAGCTGGCCACGTGGGACTTCACAGGAACGTGTGTATTGAGGTGTGTGTGCACTTAGTAGGATGCCAGCGTGGCTAGGCTGAACCACACTGCCCTGAATTCTCTTCATCTCTGGCTTTGATTAGGATGGGCTGCAAGACCGATTCCTGCGCGGGGGTTGGGGGGATGGAAGTGAAAGTGTAGTCACTTTGTAGCCCAGATACGTTGTTGTTGATGAGCTCACTCACGCCCTGGGTGTGAGGAGTGGCTGGGTCTGCAATGGCCCAGGTTCCCTCAGAGCCTTCTTCAGCGTCTCCAGTTCCTGGGCCAGGTGTGGACGTTCAGCTGTGTGACACGGGGCTCCAGCCTCTGCAGACATCCACAGCACAAGGTCATGGGCACCGAGAACTGACACGGGCTTCAATGGTCCTCGTGGACCCCAGTTCAGTTAGGCTGGCTCTGCCCCGCCTCCTACCTAGCTTCCCTTCCGGATGCCCTGCCCCGTGGACTTGAAGATCCATTGTCGCCTGTGAAGACGACAGCCTTCAGACATCGCTTAACTAGACTGGACAATTATATAACACCAACTCCTTGTAAAAAAAATCCCTTCATTCACTCTTAGTGCTTCTGCTTTTCTGAAACACGGGGATAATTTGCTACAGTGCAGGGGTCTCCAACATCTGGCTTCCGGCTGGTACTGGGCCTGGCCTGTTAGAAGGGGGCCGCACAGCAGGAGGTGAGCCTGGACTTCATGCGCTTGAATCATCCCAAAATGATGCCCCTTCCCCTCAGTCCATGGAAAAACTGTCTTCCACGAAACCGGTCCCTGGTGCCAAAAAGGTCAGGGACCGCTGGTGTATTCTGTTCTGACTAGTGCAACTTTACTCTTTCACTCACAGGTATCTTGTTTAACCCGGTAAATTTAAAAAGGGTGGGGGGAAAATACAAGTAATTTCAATACATGTTTGCCACCCAATGAATGAATGAATGTTTCTACTTATATGCTTTAAATATATTTCCCTTAAAATCCTGGAACTAAAGATTGAATTCATTTAATAGCCCATCATTGACGATGCCAAACCTATCGAACCAGTCAGTCAGATTAGAATGTCAGGCTTTGTTTTTCAGTCATAAATGTGAATATATAGTTCGTGATAACTTTTTGTCTGGATTCTGTAGGAAAGTAAGACAGGAAGCCTTGTCACATGGATAAAATAGGGAGCTCCTATCTTCAATACTTCTCTTAAAAAAAGATTATTTATTTTAGAGAGAGGTGAAGGGAGGGAGAGGGAGAGAAACATCAATGTGCTGTTGCCTCTCGTGCGCCCCCTGCTGGGGACCTGGCCTGCAACCCAAACATACTCTGACTAGGAGTCGAACCAGCGACCCCCTAGTTTGCAGGCCACTACTCAATCCATTCAGCCACACCAGCCAGGGCTACTTCAGTACTTCTTACCAACACTCTTACAGTTTCACAAGCTTCTCCCTCAAAAGACTCACATTCTTTGACACTAGCTGGAATTAAGTCAAAATTTCACTGCACCATCCTTCTCTCTAATGTATCTGAATTCAGAAATATCACAGGTGAAAATACATCACTTTAACATGCCACGGGCTGGGCCTGGCCAGCAGGAAACTGCCTGCTGAGGCGCCATTGAACTCACCCGGAGGACCCCCTCTGGACACCCCGGCCACCTGTGTATGTGCGTGGGGCTGCGGCTATGCAAACCGCCGCTGACAGGCAGCGAGGCAAGAGAACGCATGCGCGAACCGGGAAGAGCCGCCTCTTCTCTTCCGGGCAGCTGTCAGCCCTCTAGGCTGCTGTACTGACAAAGGGCGCCACTGTGCCAGCTGGCGGAGGAGAAATACTTCCAGGGCCCCCACTCCAGTATTTCAAAGCACAGACAAGAAGGGTCTGGAACCCTGGCCGGGTGGCTCAGTTGGATAGAGCATCGTCCCAATATACCAAGGTTGCGGGTTCAATCCCTGGTTAGGGCACATACAAGAATCAACCTGTGAACGCATAAATAACGTGAAACAACAAATTGATGTTTCTCTCTCTCTTCCTCTAAAGTCAGTCAATAAAAAAAAATTAAGAATCACCCAGTGAATTTAAACAATTTAAAGAATTCTGACTTCTGAAACCTACTTGGGCCTCACGATTTTTGTTAAGGCATCGTGGAGTTGTACAACTCTGTTGTATCTCGAGGTCCTCTGCCTTTATGACCAAACCTAGTCACAGCTGGTGTGAAGCCCGAAGCAATAAAAAGACCCGCATTCCGGAGTTCGTGTTTGAGGAGAGGAGAGCCCAGTGACGGGCTGTGGCTCTGCTCACGCAGCTCGGGGGAGACTTCTTCCACACGTGACTCAGGGACTACCACGCTGGGCTCCTGGAATTTGACCCAGTAACATTATCCCTCCCTTAAGGAGGGATATGGCTTTAATAAAGGGAAGAAACCTTGAGTTATCTGCACTACAGTTCCAGTGCTAAGGATTTCGAATTCAAATATCTACGGGGGTCGGGCACGCAGTTTGCCTGAGTGAAGCTCGCAGACAGAAGATGACAGGGAGGCAAGGTGACGGTGGAAATCAAGAGTCCACGCTTTGGAGGGCTGCTGCTTAACTCCCGCACATTGTTGCCCTGCGGATCCAATACAGTCAGAGAGTTTAATTTTTTGAGAGAAGCACGAAATGCAGATGTTAAATTGTGAAGCTGGCAAATTTTCAAAGCAATAAAAAAAGATGGTGTGATAAACATATATATTGAGGTAGCCTATTTTAGCTGAGTCCTACCCTTCCCTTATGTGCTCGGTCCTGGGGCCCATGTGGGCCTCAGGATTCTTGCTTGGCTGTTCCCTTGGTGTCCCCAATGAACCATGACTCCATTTATCACCTTGTACAGCCTTTCCCATTGGCAAAGGCTTAATGAGCACTTGTTCACTGGGGCCATGTCCTCTTGGCAGCTGGTTATCCTGCAGGAGCTTGATTATGATAAGCCACGTGGAAAGGGAGGCCCTAGAGGCTACTTTGATGAGCTCCCAGCTGATGGCAGTCCCATGAGTAATCTCAGCTTGCATTATGTGGGCTCAGCTGAATCCAGTCAACCCACACAGTTGTAAAAAAAAAAACAAAACATTTTAAGCTACTAAGTCATAGGGGTGTTTTATTATAATGCAATAGGCTACTGAAACACAGGTCATTGATTCTAACCCATTTGTTTTACTAATGGATGTCCCAAGGCACAGGGAGGAGAAGGGGTCTGATGAAATTCAGAGAGCAAGTTAGTGGCAATAACTTTCCAGTCCTGTGCACCGTCTTCCTATTGCTTTTCTTTCGATTCCCTTGTTGGAAAGCGCAAGATAAGGACTACGCAACTTCAAAGACTAACTGCAAGGAACTGAGGCGGTGTCCTGCATGCATACAAAATACTGTGATAACCTGGACCCTGGAAATGGGAAGGTTTCTAGCTCATCGAGGCCCCTCACTTTACAGGTGCAGAGAATGGAAAAAAAATGAACAAAAAACCATGTGAGAAAGGGAAAAGCAGCCCTTGACATTTGAAAGCTGACTTGGTACATTGCAGCCAGGCTATTACGTTATCAGATGATGGTAGCCTCTCCCTCTCAGCTTGGCCTTGTATTCTCCTGTTGAATATAATTTCATAATACACAAACATCAGACGAGGGCATTCTATAACCATGATAGATTACGACAAAACAAGACCATTCTTTCATTCTGAGCAGCAGATAAAACAAAAAACATTGTTTAAATCACACACAAAAATGACCCAACATCCCAGATTCTTGCTAATATGAGGGGCTGCTATGTTTTTGAATCCTCACCCGAGGAGATTTAAGAAAAATTGTTTTTAGAGAGAGAAGCATCAGTTGGTTGCATCCTGTACACATCTGGACTGGGGAACGAACTAACAACCCAGCCATGCTCCCTAACCAGGAATCAAACCCTCCACCCTTCAGTTACGGGAGCACACTCCAATCAACTGAGCCACACTGGCCAGGGCAGGGCTGCTACTTTGCCAATAGCTTACCCTCAGCCCAGTACTCCTCCCTTTCAGGTAAGATTTACTGAGATACTCAATCATAGAATTCCCCGATTCCTGGCACCATTACGGTAATCCAGGCACAGCCCTACTTCCTCAAACCCTCTCCCAAGTCACCTAACAACCCTCTCTGAGACGCCCCACGGTTCCTCGTGGCGCGCGTTCTTCCTTCCAGTAACCTCACTTGCTCAACTGTTACAGTGTCCCTGATGGTCTTGGATTTGAAGGCACTGACCGACCCGCCAAGTTCACACGGAGCTTGGTGACAGAATTCAGGAAGAGCCTCCAGGCCTCCGGCCGTGTTCTTTCTTAGCACCTGTCACTCTTCTGGTTCATGTTCTCCTCCTGCACCGCCCCCCCCCCCCCCCCCCCCTTAGAATTAAGCTCCACGAGGACAGAAGCCTTTTCTGGGATGTTCACAGTTGATTCCCAGTGCCCGGCAGGGGCTGGAAGTTTATACTTTCGGAGCGAATAAATGAGTACGAGGGGCTCAATATACGCAGGTTTCCTTGCATTTCTCGGCTCCTCTCAGTTCGTGGTGCATACACACAGCATCACAGCTCCTCTCCATAAACCTCTTCTCCAGCTAAATCTCCAAACACCTCAGTGGGATGTCGGAGAGGGACACCCTCACGGATCCTCTTCCTTTGCCCGAGTTTCTCTCGCGCGCCGGCCCTCTGCCACACCTGGACCCCAAGACCATCCCCTCTTAAAGCACCTACAACCCACCTGTCTCCAACTTGGGCCCCTACTACCAGACCCTCGTAGACCAGGCGAGCGGCTACTTAGGCGTCTAATGGGCACTGCGGACCCCGACTGCGCATGTGCGGAAATAGATCGCACACGCAGGATCTCTGGCGAGTGAAGAGTTGCCTCCGGAGTTTCCCTTCCTGTCGGAGTCGGCTAGGGCTGCCGGGAAGTCGGGCGAAAGTGGCGGAAAGAGAAAACGAGCGCAGGGTTTTCTGGGACATGTAGTTGTGGAACTCTCGAGGCTCTACCTGGAAGGGAGCCCATACTTCTTCAGGTCTGCACGTCCCGCATTCACTCTCCAGTGCTACTTTGGGCTCCGAATTCAGCTTCGCGCTGCCAGGAGGGAAATGGCCCGGCGTCGGCTTCTCGCTCCCACAAGGCTCTGCGGAGCCCGCGGCGCCTGCTGGGAGCTGTAGTCCTCGCTCTGCGTACTGCGTTCGCCGAGGACGAGGGCGGAGCTGCCGGCGGCCCGGGCGGGCTGGCAGCTAGAGTGGGTGCGAGTACCGCCTCCGCCTCTGCCGCCTCCGCCGTCGCCTCCTCCGCCCGGGCGGTTCGCTGCTGCGCCGGGAGAGCGAGGCGGGGCCGCCGGGGCCGCCATGGAGCCCGACTCGGTGATTGAGGACAAGACCATCGAGCTCATGGTGAGTGCGGCCCTCTGGACCGTCTGTTCTCTGCCCGTCGGGCCCCGGGCGGGCCTGCCCACCTCAGCGTCCGGCGCGAGGCCGGCCCTTGGCCCTTCCCCGGCGTCTCGGCCCGGACTTGGGCCCCCCGCTTTCCCTGGCCTGGGGCCCGGCGCGTTTTCTTCGGATCCCTAGAGATCTCAGGCCGGAGCTGGCCCGGCTCCCTCCTGCCCCTCGGTTCTCCTTCCCTCTGTCTTGTCTCCGGGCCCATCTCTCGGACGACCCTCGCTCGCTAACGTTGTGGCGTTAGCTCACACTCGCTTTAGCATTTCGTCCTCCTCTTAGAAGTGGAATTCTTTATTTTTCTCCTCTGTTTCTCCGGCCCAGGCCTGCACCACTCTTGCAAGCCCCACTTAGGCCCAGTGAGATGGTGTTGGGAGGGGGTCCGGGGGAGATCGGTCCGGGCCTCGGGCCTCCACGTCCCAATAAGGGTCTCAGTACCCTCTCCCCAACAGTCTAGGGCTGGGTGGATGCCTGGATAAGCCCTACCAGGGGTGGGGGTGGAAGCTCTGGGGTTGGAGGCTCTGACGGATTAGGGGCGTCTTTCCCGGACCCCAGTGATGTCCAGCTTTTGGGACAAAGGGTTTCCTACTGGGCTGAGAGGGATGATCGCATAGCAAGGCCCTGGGTACTCTGGATTCCATCTCCCAGGAAAGGAAAACCGTAACTTCACGTTTTCCGGAGCTGCTTTGGGAAATTGGGGGGGGGGGGGGGGAGGGTTGTCCTCATGACTGCCTCCAGTTCTTTCTTCTCAAAACAATAAAAAATAAATAAAATAAAATAAATGAAAGAAACGGAAAAGGAGAATCCTAAGCCCCTGGGGAAGCGGTCACTCTGCTGGTAGAGACCACTGGCAGCCAGGCCAGACTCCCTCGCCCCCGCAGACACCCCAACCCCTTGCCCCCTTAGGACATGGAGTCAGCAGGGGTTTTCAGAAACAGGGTCATGAGAGATCGGCTAGTAGGATTTGCTAGTCGGTGGATGATTGGGTGGGAGAAAGAAAATCCGGCAGCTCTGTTACCTGCCAGTTTGAGCGTTAGAAAAATCAGACTGGGCTGTGGGGGAAGTCATTGCCTCAGCAAATGGACAAGCCCAGGGTTTCTTCCTGTAGAAACCTTGACAGGTCCTTTGTATCTCTCCTAACAAGGTAACAACTTCTACCCAGGATTCAGAGGGAAGGTGAAAGAATCTACTTCCCCCAGCGAAATGTTTTCCTAGCCAGGTTTTCTCCAGTGTGAAAATGCTTATTGAGTCAGTGATTCCACTGGGTAGGGTCCATGACATCAGAGCCACTTCCCCCATTTAATGCTATAAATAATAAATGGTGACACTGAAAGTCTGTTGGATAGCCGCATAGCTTCTGTGGATGATGATGTCTGGGGAGTTGAGATACATGTTTTAAAAATGGAAGTACAGTAGCATAAATAGGGAGGCAGGTTAATATTTGCTGTCCTTTGCATAATCCACAGAACTACACTTCTCCAGCATTCTTGAGAACCATGAAAAAAATAGCTCTGGTAGTTTCTAATTTGTGTGTGTGTGTGCACGTGTGGTTGCTTTCTAAGGGATAGTGTCCCATGTGGATTTTTACATTTAAGTCATTTTTTTCTTCTCCGTAATTTATTAAGCCTTTGATATTCTGCAACTTTTGTAGATTATTTTGGTGAAATATCTTAATTAGAATTACAAATGTATCTATTCTTATGGACGTACTGAAGACATAAGAGTACTTTATAATTGAAAAATTGTATCTTGGCGCCTCTGACATTGGCTGTTTTGTGCTCCTCATATTCATTTAAAAAATAACTAAATGTCTTTATTTTCAAAAGAATTAGAATACAATGTAATCCATTAAGTGTGGGTGTATGGTAAAAAAAAATCTTTTGCCTAAATTTACTGGCTTTATATCCTTACAACTTAAAAAGTTTCCATTTTATATGATTGTATTTGTCTATGATCAGAAGAGATATCTCAGCCTTTTAAGAACATTATAAACTGGACTCTTAGGAAATTTAACAAAGAGTGGAATAGTTGTTTAGATCAATTTTAAAGTGGCTTTTTATATACGGATTTTGATATTCCTTCAAAGGGATACCTGTTAAGACTCTTAGGCAACCCTTTTTATAAACATATATGTATTTATTTTAGTGTAGTAGATAGCACAAATACTTAACAGCTGATCCAGTAAATCCAGGATCAGATGTAGGAATGATAAAGCCTTAAAATCTGATTGCACGTGGCTTCCTGTATTCACTGCATTTTCATTGCAGCAGAAGTAGGTTAAAAATAATTTTTACAGCCCTGGTTGAGTGGCTCAGTTGATTAGAGCTTTGTCGTGATAAAGCAAGGTTGCGGGTTTGATCCCCGGTCAGGGCACATACAAGAATCAACCAGTGACTGCATTAATAAGTGGAACAACAAAAAGCCATGTGTCTCTCTCTCCCTCAAAATCAATAAATTAAAAATAAAAATTTACACTGGTTTCAAAACAGACATGATGGGAGAAGGAGCGGAAGGGGTTAAACGGATGGTGTTTTGAAAGCCTAAAGCATGGAATATTTTTAGATGTTTATGAGTCAGATTGAGTACTCAAATATTTGTGATGCGCTGCCTGTACCAGCGTGGTGCTTGGCGGTCAGCAGGGTAACTTGCACTTGGTATTTCGGAGCCGTATCAGAGAGAGGCAACAGGCTTCTGGGGTGTCTCCAGTTTCTTAGTCTTCGTTCTTTTACTTTCTTTCATTTTGATTCTTTCTCCTTTTTCTTTTTTGTACTTTTTTTTAGTTTACTAGCAAATAAAGCTGGTGAGAGAGCAATGAAAATTCCCGGAATAAAACCCTGTTGTGATTCTTACTCCTGCCTGAGGCTGGGTCCCCAAAGGGTGCTTCTCCACCAGACCAGCCTCATCCGATTCAGGCTTTAGTACGGACTAGATACTTTTGATTGAGATAGTTGTACTCACAATTGCTGGTGGTAAATAATTTAACCTCCAAATGACTTTTATGGCCTTAGATTGGTCCATTATAGACCTTGTTTGTGGGACTGTTTTTCAAACTTGTGCCTTTGGCAAATCAGCTTCATTATTATTAATGAGGTAGGAAAGCAGTAACCGATTTTAACTGTACCACATTTACCAGGCTGTGTCTGGTGCACTTCGCTGGAAGGAAAGAAGATCGTGCATCGTATATCACATGATATTTATTAATGCTCGAGTCAGGATGTGGGGCCCTCATTACTAGGAAGCGCTCACGGAGCTGCTGATTGGGACAGAAAGATGAATAATCTTCTGTTACAAGATGGCAGGAGTTGGTGTCAAAAGGGTAGGAAAGGTAATCCTGCCTTCTCTGCGGGTGCGAACTCATCCCTTTCGCCACATTTTCAAAACTAATGGGCAGTTTGTGCTCTATTGTTGTCTGTTGAATGGTTCCCCTCTTTGCTAAGTGACCTTAAGTGAGCCATTTCCCTCCTGTGTTATGCCTAAGTGGCTTGTCCACCTTGTTGAATGCAGTAATGAGGTCAAGTATATCGGACTCTGTTAAGAAGGTGTGATATCAAGGCTGTTTTCAGAGCTATTGGAGAAAGGCAGGCCGCAAAGCCACGGAGAGGAAAGAAACAAGTGGAGATCCTGGGAAAAACATGTTTTGGTTTTTTTTTGATATCTGCCCCTTTCCTATCATTGGCTTCCAAAGTGGCGCAAGTGGGATTGTTTAGTAATTCCTTTGCCAAGTTGGACGTCGCTGTCACTTAGCCTCATCTAAGTTTGGCCCCGTGCTGATTTACCAGGTACAGATGAAATAGAGAAAGATTTAAGTAGGGTCCAAGTGAATTAACGGTATAGGTGTTGATAGAGCTCATTGACGTGCCTCAAGAAGCAGTGGCTGGAACACAGTGGTTTCGGCCCCGATTTCGGAGTGGGTGGGATGTCCTCTCAGATCCGAGGGCGAGAAGGGGATCCTGCTCACCAGTCTCGGCCCCCACTGCTGTACCTGGAAGACGGAGAGCTGGCCCAGGACCCCGCCACACAGGCTCGCAGGACAGCACATGTGTCCCTCCGAGCCCACCCGTTTGAGCCTCCCAGTTCTAGAAGTAAACTCTTCTGTGCTGCGAGGTGCCTGGGGTCCTGAGTTTCACTTGGTGACGGTCACACTTCTGAGGGAAAGAAAGCATCTGAAGTCCTCGAATTCCAATTCCAGCCTCCCTTCTAGATTTACTTCCCACATTTGTCACTTATTACATGTCCCAGCCAAAGCTTGGGGGACCCTGCTTCTCCTGATTCTGAGCACACAGTTTCTTTTGCCAGCACCAGTATGAACTGACCTAAGCCCATGTATTGAAGGCTAATCATATTTTCAGGAAGGACCTAATATTACAGTCGGCTCTCTGGCTAAATTAGCTTAGGTCAGGTCTCAGCAGTTCTCCTTTTAGCTGTACTGATCAAGTCCTGTTCCCTCAGAACGATTGAGGTGTCCTTCTTGATGTCGGTGTGTATTAGGGTGGCAGGTGGCACTTGGGCTTTGTATCTGTAGCACCATCTCCATGATCATCATTGTCAGATGAAGCGGATTCTGGCCCTTCGTGTTTATCTTACGGCGCTCCACGCACTCCGGGCTAGTACTCTGTTTCCGGTTTGTGCCCCCTGTTAAATGAGAAACTCCTCAAGTGTCTTTTTGTGGTGGGTGTTTGGTAAATGTTGCAGTTTGGGTTGACTGGTTACGTGCATTACTGCCACCTGCTCCTGTCCTTCCTGCAAGTTCTGCACACGTCGCTGATTCCCATGACCTGCTCCTGACCTGTGCAGTACCTACACTTTCCCGTTCATCAGAAGCCTTCTGATCACGTCTAAGCTTCCCTTCCAGAGGCTGCATCTGATGGTCCTTTGAATTGGTCCTTCCTGATGTCGAGCACTTAGGCATGGAATGGCTATTTATTGATTTAAGTTAACGTTAGGGTTTTCTCCTGTGTTTTAAGAGTTCCTTTTGACAACCTCACGACAAGGGTGGACGTGAATAGAGGAGAAAAGGCTGGGAAGGGGGAAGAGGGCGGCGTGTGGACAGAACTTGACCTACACACAGGCTGACTTCTGTACATCTCAGAGTGCGGTTGATGGCAAAGTGTTGAGGAAACCCGGGCTCCTTTCATAGCTGCTGATGTGAACGCCAAATAGGCGGTAAGTTCTGAGGACCCTGCGGCCTTTCGGCAGCGAGATTTAGCAGAAAGGGCACGGGCCTCAGAGTGAGACACCGGATTGCGCCTCCCAGCCCTGCCACTGGCCTGCCGTGTGAATTTAGGAAGTTAGCCGAAGGGTTTTATTATTTGTGAAGATACGAAAATGTCTTTACTGCTGCGAGTTGTTGGGAAGATTGTGGGTTGCCTTGGCGAAGCTGCGAGGCTGGTCCACAGCACCTGCTTGCCATACTAGGGACCAAATTCGTAAAGAAAGCACAGTGGAGACGGATGGTGTGAAGAGGTTTTAATTTTCCCCTTGAGTTGTGTATGTGTTTATTGGTGAAGCTTTACAGAGACCTACAGTTCATTTGCTTTCAGGCATATATTTATTTAGGGGTCTTTGGGGAAAATGACGAACTCGTACAGTATTGTCTTAGAAGTCTGGGAGGTACTGTTAAGATGACGAAGAACTGCCAGTCAGACATCATTAGACTGTACTCTAACTAGAGGGAACCCACCCAGCCCCGTTTGAGGTTTCCTGGTATACAGAGACCGGTAATTAGTTGTATTAACACCGAGCGTTGTGATTTATGTTTGATTGGTTTAGGATTTTTTACTTCTTGTTGTTTTAACAAAGCTGATGATTTTGACCTTTAACAGAATGAGCAGTGAGCACAACACAAGCTTTCCTCCTGAGCTGTAGTTGAGTTGTTCATTGAAGAGTTGACAAAGGGGGAGAACCTGTTGATCCGGAGCGAGCTAGTCACCCTCAGTTAGTTTCTGCTGATCACAGTTGCCCAACAGGAAGTTTGTCTGTGTAGGCAAATGAGAGACGAACCAGGAAGACCGCCCCTCCAGTGGGCTATCTCTGACTGGATCTTACTATTGTTTCAAGAACTTCAAAGAGTGCAGAGCTCTGTGTGTGATGTCAGCAGGAAGCACTTGTAGGAAACTCCGTCACGTGGTTAGTTAACAAGGAGGACTTCACCAAGTGCAGAGCTGGGACGTAGAAACAGTGGACATGAACATGTAACATGAAAAAAGTCCCTTTGAGTGGAGAGGTGTGCACACAAGTATAATAATGCATACGGGAAACCGTTCTCTAACGGCGAGCCTCAGATGCACAGACGGGAAAGAAAAACTAAGTGAGCGCTCTGCCCCTGAGAAAAAGGGAACTGGAGTACTTTTTCTTTTTTTTAAGAGTTACGTTGCGAACACTTAACCACTTACGAGAACTAATAATCAAACGTGTTTTGGTTCTGTGAAATGATTGCTGGGGAGATTTCCAGAGAGAGAGGGACTGAGGACAGGGAGATTTTGGCCTTGGCACTCCTGGGCTGGCAGCTGTTCACCTCTGTGTCTCTAGCGCAAGGCCTTCTCCCAGCTAGGCGTTCAGTCCATGTCAATTTGAAGGGAAGAGGGGAAATAATACAGGGATGAGGCCTGACATTTCAAGAGGTTCAGAAATGAGTTCGCCAGTGAGGTTGTTGGGGTTGCGCTTTGCTCTAACTGTTCCGCATTTTCGTTATAGCAGTAAGGTATGCTTTGAAAAACAGAGTATATTGCTTTAGTTAGCTACTAGCTATAGCTCACCGTAGCTGCTTTTCTTGAAATTGGGCTTCTCATTTATTCTTAGGCTCCAGAGTAATATCGCTTAATAGGAAAAACACGAGCACTGATACTTGGCTTGCGATTTTACTTGTTTTGGGCATTAAGATAACTTCCATCTGATTGTTCTGGGGAGGTTGGTCCCTAACTGGTATTTCATTCACTCGAGGTGCTTTGACTACAGCTTGAAAAATCAGAGCATCTTTAGTCACTGCCTATGATTCATTTACATATCTTGGAATTTAAAAATCCCCCCGTTTCAACCAGACCTGAGATCACCCGTCAGAGTCACGTTCTTTGCTTACGAACACGAAGACTGGTTGGAGAACGTTGTACCGTGTTTTGTTGTGACGTTCATTGTGTAGGCCATGAACTTCCATGGCTCCTCATTAACGAAATGCTTTTTAAGTGGCAAGATGTGGGGAGGCAGCTGGTCGCGGATGGCTCATGCGGTTCGGTTGTGTTTTAGTTCAGCGAGGCTGGAGTCTTTTCTGTATTTTCTTTTCCGTTCCCCGTTCCTGTGGATGGACTCGGGCCTCCGACAGTAGAGCTTGGTTTCTTCTGCCCCTGGAATCTTGGCCCTGTAAAATCCTTGAACTTGGGCATAGCTGTGCTCTGTCAAAGGCTTGGGGCTGTACCACCTGGTAGGTGGGGGACTTTGGCAAGTTCTTTCTTCTCATCACTTTTGAGAATTGAGTAATGACTAAAAAGGGCCTAGCCCATTAGTAGCCCTTTGGTCAAGGTAGGCATTTTAATTACTTTTTAATTGCTGCAGGAGTGTTTTTGCAATAATAGCATGGCAACCGAGGAAGTAGAAAATTATGTGCAAGAAAGGTCACAGTCTTTGAAGTTTTTATCTGTGTCACTCTGTTGAATACCCTTTTCTCTCTCCCTTAGAGTTTGTTCAGAATTTCCAGTCGAACAGAAAAGTTGGTGTGGTAGTAAAAGAACTTTCATATAATGTGGAATGGGCTTGTGTTACTAGGTGTCATCCAGTAAATTATTTATTAGCTTGCTGTATTACTTTCCTTAGTTGACTCGATGACTGGCCTTTATTGAGTCAAAAGTACACTCTTAAAAGTAGGCTGTGTTTAAAATGGCCGCATTTCAGCCGAGGGAGGGTTTGGGTAATGTGCAGATTTGAGGTCTTATGTGTGACAAACCAGAAGATACCTTGTTGGGCACTTACCTAAATGTCTCTGTTGGGAGGTGTTGGAGCCCTCCCATCGTCCTTGGTCGTGGCCGACAGCCTTTGTGTAGGGCTGTCTTAGAAAATGGCTAAGCAAGTTCGTTGTTGCTGAATGGTCCCGGACAGTTTATGTGGACACTGGTGTGAGCTTTTAGCTGCTCTCATTTGGAAATTGCATGTTATTTGTCATAGTAAATACTAATATCGGGGATGTGAGCCTTTGCCACTTGGAATTTCTCGCCCTCCTCTGCAGGCAGAGGCGGGGACGCGCGTGGACTGTCCAGTGCAGACGGCGTGCACGGTGGTGCTCTTTCTGCGCCTCAGATCCGCCTCCCACCGACCCTCCTTCCGCTTCCCGGTGGCCGTCCTGTGCCACTGGTGCTGTGGTGGGTGTATGGACTGCTTTCTGTCTTTCAACAGTTACCGAAGTGCATGTTTGGGATTTTGTTGAAGAAAGCTGGATTCGGTAGACGGAAAGCCCCCGGGAAGCTGCTTGACCGCTGCCTTCTCTCAGACTAGTCTGAGAGGGAGCCCCCACTCGGGATTGGTGGACCTGAAGTGCAGAGTGTCTCCCAGGTAAGCCACCGCCCTGTCCCGTCTTGTTTCGTGGGACCCAGCCTTCCGGAGGAAGCTGACACGTTTTGGCTCTCGTGTCCCGTTTGGGCGTGGACCGCTGCGGGGCCACTGGCGTGGCGGCGGCCCCAGCGCACACTGGGTTGCGGTGGAGGAAGCGCAGTTGTTTTTATTAAAGGCTTGAACGGTTTATGGGAATAGCCCAACAGGGAGTTTGGTTTGGGGAACAGCTTGTAAAATAGGGAACACAGATGATAATTTGGGGGGGTATTAGCTCATGATTTATAGTCAGTACCTCCTCAAAATAGGTTTTGCAGTTACCATTTAAAGTGGTGGCCTTTTATTCTTGGGACTCTTGAAAGGTCTTCTTAAGAACAGCTGCTTGTTGAGCATCTGCTGGGTGCCAGGGACTTTGCTCTTTACACACACTTCTCGCTCGGCTGGCACTGGCTGCACCGTGTTCTGCGGACAGTGACGTGAGGCTCGCAAGCACCGAGTGCAGGTTGCCCCAGGACGCACAGCAGGGAGCTCAGGGCTGGGCGTGTGCTTCAGCTCCCGGGTTTTTCGGCATTGCCTCTCTGCAGGGGCAAGGTGTGGTGTTCTACAACCGGTTTCCGCGTGGAGATCGCACTGGAGATCTCGGCGTGGCAGGGTGCTGTTCTTGCATCTGGCACTCTCCCAACTTCGGGAGAAAACTAGGAGATCTTCAGTCCGTTCATCGAGCAAACATAAAGGTTACTTAGGGTGTGTGAGAGAGGCAGTGAATTTAAAGGTCCAAACGTGGTCTATGCAGGAAAGCACCGTTTCGCTTAGTGAACTCCAACTTGTATTTTTTCAGTTCCTCCTGCGTTTTTATTGGTTATTTAAATAGCTCAGTAGCTTGTGGTGCAGACTTCTTTTGACCTCTGGGTTGTTGGCCTTACAAGTAGGACATTGTCAGGCAGCTCTCTTGAAAATGTGACCTTTTTTTGGTATTTAATATTCTCTCCAGATTACCCATTCCCTTAAATCTTTAAAAAGTTATTTTTTGCTCTGGCTGCTGTGGCTCAGTGGATTGAGTGCCGGCCTATGAACCAAAGGGTTGCCGGTTTGATTCCCAGTCAGGGCACATGCCTGGGTTGCATCAGGTCCCCGGTTGGGGGTGTGCAAGAGGCAACCGTACATTGATGTTTCTCTCTCTTTCTTCCTCCCATCCCCTCTCTCTAAAAATAAATAAACACAATCTTTGAAAAAAGGTTCTTTTTATCATAGACTGATAGTTCGACTTTGTGATCCTTTTAGTTTAACTCCTTTCTGTTTGCTAAGGACTCTCCTGGGTGAGCATTTTCAGCGCTTGTCATCTGCAGAGCTGGCGGGATGGTGCTGGGTAGAAATAAGAGCAGTTACGACTTCCTGGGCCCGACTCTGGGCCGAGCGCAGTTCTAGGCACTTTCTATGTCTAAACTCGTTTCATAGTGACCAGCGAGGTAGGGAGGGAGGCACCATTATTTCTATTTACTGATGACAAAACGGAAGCATAGAGGAGCTAAATCACATGTTCACAGTTACACATCTAGTAAGAGACCAGGACGAGACAGGTTTCCAGGCAATCTGGCCTCAGGAGGTGCCTCTAAGCTCTGCGCTACCTGCCGCTTCCAGTGCAGAGTATCACCGTGACAAAGAGGGCCACCGACCCTGGAGACCAGCCTGCGCGTTCCGACTTGGAGAAAGGAAGCAGTCCTTCGGCGGCTCTTCCCTCCCTTAGAAACCGTCTAGCGCTCAGGGCCCGCCTGTCAGCTCGTGTCCGAGAGGACTCGCCGCAGGGTTGCCGAAGGGCATCTTCCGGAGCAGCGCTGGCCAGTAGAACCTGCCGTGATGAGGGGCGGGCTCCACTTGGTAGCCGCTAGCCGGCCACGTCGGGCTATTTGGAAATGTGTTTCTCTAAGCAAGGCGCTAAATTTTTTATTTTAATTTACATCCAAATAGCCACAGATATAGTCTTAGAATTTCCTGGGTCTGGTCCTTGGCTTAACAGCCCTAGAAATCAGGCCTGATCAGCGTGTCCCAGGCACCTCTTATCCCAGGGTCGGGCCTCCGTCAACTGTCTGTGCAAGACTGGTGTGTAAAGCCAGAATCCCGGTTTGTTGTTTTATAATATGTGCTTGTTGTCATGGTTAATACAAACTTTTCTGATAAGTACATTTGCTCACTCGGTTCTAATTAATATGCCAATTTAATTTTTCAAGTAAGAAACCCGAGACTGAAGCCAGACGACTATGGAATATTCCCTTCACATAGGTGGACCTGACCCACCAGGTCGGCTTCATTAGCGTGGGCCCGACCGGGGGACTGAGGCAGCCTCATTCGGCCTGCTTTGGGGGTGGATGGCTTCTCCTTAGGACAGAACCCCTTCTTTCAGCCTCTGCTTGCTTTCACTTCCCAAATCCTTTTCCGATCAGGCACTGGTTGTTTTAGACGAGCTGGTGAATTCAGGTTGAATGCGCCCTTCCAGGTCCGGGAGCCTTTGTTCTCCACAAGGTCACTTTGTCACTGCTGTGCTCCATCCTGTGTGCATTTTTGACTCTAAGAAAGCAGTTGAATTTTCCTGGCTTCCCTGTGGCCTCTTTCTGTCGAAACACACACAATCGCTTACTTAATTTGGCCAAATAGGGTGGGTTAGAATAGGAACACACTCATAAAAAGTACTGGTGGTACATCCCCTTTGCATTACATCACATTCTTAAATGAGCTTGTTTGTAGCTTACTGTGTCATTACTGTGGGACTTGCTCTTGCTTCTCCTGTGTTTATAATATTGGTAGAAAAAGTAATGTAACTAAATTTGTTTTTGGCTGTTGACTTTTCAGGTGTGTGCAAGATAGATTGAAGAGACCTTGGCAGGGAGACCAGTTAGTTCAGGAGGTCGATGATGAAGGCACACCGGAGTGTTGACAGTGGCCATGGTAGGGGGGCGTGCACTCCCAAGAGACGTGGTAGTAGGATCTACAGGACTTGGGGGTTGTTCGCAGGGGTAGGGTATGCATACATCATAGCGTGAATTTGAGATTTTGGCTTGGGCATCGGGAGCGATGCTTTTCTCTTTCTAGTCTGGAATACAAGAGGAGCACGTTGGCTGGGGTGGGGTCAGGGGTTGGGAAAGAATGAGTTCAGTTTATCACGAATTTGAGTTGCCTGGTGGCTGAACCCTCTAAGAGGGGAAGAGTCTAATAGGAGTGTTGATCTGGAGCGCCCCAGGGACAGCAGGGGTAGGAAGACTCTCGAGTAGCCACCGCTACCTAGGGGTGGGAGGGGACTCGCTGTGCAGGGTGAGGACTCTGCGTGTCGGTGTATGGGAATGCAGGTGTAAAGCAGCGGGCGCAGCTGAGTCTCGTGACCTTGTAAGTCAGGAGTGATGCTGATGAAGAACCTACAGCTCTGTCTTTCCGTCTTGATCCGGGAACTCAGTTCAGCCAGTTCCAGCCCGCAAGTTAGCCCTTGACGCTTGGGTTGTGTTTTCTTTCCCACTGTAGTGGTTCGTTTAATTACCAGAGGTACCATTTTTCAAAAATTAAAAAAAAAAACAAACTCTGTGTTGTCACTATATGTCTCATGTACATTTATGCAAATTCAGTTCTTCTGGTTACAGAACTTGAGGAAAAAGAACCTAAACAGTGAAGGTTCTGGGTCACACGTGAGATAGAAATGGAAACTGCTCCTCTGAGCGGGTCTTGGTTTCTGAATGCTTCTTACCTCCCTGTGACAGGGGTGAGTGTGGTGTTTAAACACACACGTTCGGAAGGGCACACGAGGCCCAGGTGCGGGCCAGATACTCCACCCCCTGGTCAGCCGACGAAGCAGCGCAGCAGTCGTGTGCTGGAGTGAAAGTGAGCTGTGTTGGGGTCGCCGGGGTGGTGTGTCGGTCCGGAGTGGCACAGGTTTAAGGGATTTTCAGGGCCAAGTTTCACTGTGTGTTACTTTCACAGTACACACTGACTTCAGCCCCCAATCCCAGGTGAGCTGTAACTGCACTGTAATTAGGTTTTGGTAATAAAAGCATGGAGATGTGAAGAGTTCATTACAGCTACAGTCGATCCATACTTAAGAAGAAATAGTTTGAATACATTGTATGTGCCTGTGGTGCAGACCTGGTAAGGCACAGAAGGAAGTGCACAGAAAATGAAGTGTCCCTTTCCTTCCTGTAGCTCCAGCCACTCAGCCCCATTATTCTGCACCTTGATGTTCTTAAAATGTGAAATATGACACGATCATCTTTCACATCAGTTCCCAAAGAGCTCTCGTGTCTTTGAGCAGATTTAAAAATTGACAGGGTGCACGCTGGTCTCCGCGTGTGCTGTAGTGTGCGACAGCAGTGTGGATCGTTGCGCACGTGCGCAGGTTCTCTCCAGTCTTCGCCGGGACGCCTCATTCCGTAAAGAATAGCTCGGTGCGTGTGTCGTGTCCCGTGGAGGAGTGGTCAGGACAGACCCCCGCCTGTAAGCAGCCCTGGGCCGGAGCCTCCAGAGGCCTGGGGGACACCACCACAGGGCCCTCCGCCAACCGCCCAGGCCGGTGGAGAGCGCTCTCGGGTGTTCTGTGCCTTTTCAGATGACTGCTTTTTTTAATTGGTCTCCTCTTTTATCCCCCATAACTTCTTTTAAATTTCATATATATTGAAGAGTTGGGGGGAACCAGTACAACAAACCCTGTATACGCTCCACCTAGACTCAAGAATTACTGACATTTTTGGCATATTGGGATCTCTTCTCCCACACTCCCTCCCTCCCCTCCCCTCCCCTCCCTTTCTCCCCTTCTCCCTCCTTCCTTCCTTCCCTCCTTTTACTCCCATCTTCCCTCCCCCTGTCTTCTTCCTCTTCCGTGGTTCTCCAAATAATACTCTTTTGTTGTCAAAAATTTGAAAGTAAGATGGAAACATGCTACTTCACCCTCTAAACACTTCAGCATGTATGTTCTGAGAATAAGGACAGTGTGTTCCTTTCTCTTAGACCACAGACACAGAGCTGTGTGT